TTAATAAAACTCAATCAATAGCGCTGTAAGTTGATTGAATGAGCAATAGAAAGATCTTTCAGGGTGGGCGGGGCTACTACGAATGATCAGAGTAAGACACCGAACTACAACTTCAAAGAACGATCACGAGTATTTAAATGATCAATTCGTAAGCTGATTTATCGAAACAAACAGATCAGAGAAGTGCGTACAACTCAGATGAAATGTCAAGTGACAAGTTTGGAGATACTTTCTAGCAATCAAAAAGAACGAAAGAAAGGACTTGGTAAGAACAAGTAGTGAGAACAAGGTAAATTGGGTGTGAAAATCAAGTGTAGACGTAAAAGAGTTCAAATGACTGATCTAATGGGAACTTCTAGTCCCGCAAAAAAAAAAGATCCAAAAACGGTCAAGTTTGCGCTGAGTTACAACCATTTGACTGCTCAGGCCATGTGAAGCGCCAACGCTCCTGTGGTACTTGCATCTTCATAAATAACCATTTCATTTCTCATCTGAAAAATTAATGCGCGGTCGTGCGATTGAGCACAACCGCTCATAATCATCGTTGCTCGGAATGAAACATGTACCAATTTCATTCCTGACTTCCTCATCGAGGGAGCGGTGCGTGTGACTTGGTAATATACTGAAACTCATAACTTTGCTCAAACTCGTTCAAATCCGATATTTTTTTTGATTTGACCCCTGAAATGAAACAAACATGAAAATCGAGTAACTAACCATAATCGGCGAATTGTTTCTCTCATAATCATTCAACACCTAATCTGATGGTAACTAATCACGAACTACTGACACTTTCTTCTGATTTCTCTTTGATTGAAGCCTACTTCATGCTCATTTTATAGAACGCAAGTCTGAAATTGAGAGATTGTGCAGCTCATAACATAACTCTTGGTAGTGGTTACCAGTCCACCACCCCCTTTCAGGTGATAGGTATGATCAACAACGAGAACCGAAAAAATAAATTATTTTATTGTGCAAAAACAAAAAAAAAACATTTGAGATGCTGCAAGATCATCAATACAACAAAATTATACAACGAGAACAATAACAACATAGAGGTCTAAACAACTAAACTAATCAGTCTAACTAGAAGGGAATATTATAACATAAGATCTTTAATCGCTGCACAATGAGATGATTGGAAAGATGATTGCTTAGAACATACCACCTCCCATTCCTCCCATTCCACCCATACCTCCCATGCCTCCCATGGCAGGGCCTCCAGCAGGTTCTTCCTTAGGGATTTCAGTGACAACACATTCAGTTGTGGAAAGGAGAGATGCAACTCCAGCAGCATCTTGAAGGGCAGTTCTAACAACCTTAGTTGGATCGATGATTCCAGCCTCGAACATGTTAACAAATTGGTCGTTCATGGCGTCATATCCGAAAGCAACATTTTCGTTAGCCAAAACTTTCTCAACGATAGATGAAGGCTCGAGTCCAGCGTTCTTAACAATGGTGGAGATTGGTTGTCTTAAAGACTTCTTGATGATATTGACTCCAACTTGTTGATCCTCATTAGGAGCCTAAACTAGAAAAATAAGATGATACTTAATCCAATTCTGACCTTGAAACTATCCAGAGCTTTAAGGGAACGGAGAAGGGCAACTCCACCTCCGGGAACAATTCCTTCTTCAACAGCGGCTCTAGTGGCGCACAAGGCATCGGTGACACGATCTTTCTTCTCGTTAACTTCAACTTCAGAAGCTCCTCCGATCTTGAGAACAGCAACTCCTCTAGAAAGCTTAGCAAGTCTCTCGTTGAGCTTCTCCTAAATCAAGCTATGGTCAGTTTGAACTCTATGCATACACGAACCTTCTCATATTCGCTGGTGGACTCTTCAATTTCATCAGCAATTTGTTCAATTCTCTTTTCAATGGTAGCTTGTTCTCCCTTTCCGCGAAGAAGAAGACAATCATCCTTAGTGATGGTAACCTCATCAACCTCTCCGAAATCGGAAGATTGAATATCCTCAAGCTTGATTAGGTTAGCGTCATCACCGAAGACGGATCCACCGGTAGCGATAGCGAGATCTTTCAGAGTGTTCTTGCGGTTATCACCGAAACCTGGAGCCTTAACAGCAGCAACTTGGAGGCCGACCTAGAAGGGGTTTACTAACATTCTCGTCAACTTAGATCTATAGTACCTTCAATCTGTTAAGTACGAGAGTGGTGAGAGCTTCACCATCAACATCCTCAGCAATGATAACGAGTGGCTTTCTGATTTTGTTGGCGAGTTCCAAAGCAGGGACAATATCTTGAACTTGACTGATTTTTTTTTCACTGAGAAGCACAAGAGCCTTTTCATACTCGACCTATAATAGGAAACTGATCAATCAAGATCATAACGTCATGTGCTTACCTTAGCTCCCTTTGAGGAGTTAATGAAATATGGAGAGATGTATCCGCGATCGAACTTCATTCCTTCGATAAGTTCGAGCTCATCAACAAGAGTCTTTCCGTCCTTAACGGTGATAACACCCTTGTTACCGACTTTCTTCATGGCTTCGGAAATGAGACTTCCAATAGCCTTGTCTCCATTGGCGGAGATAGTAGCAACTTGAGCGATCTCTTCAGGGGTTGTGACTTGCTTGCTCATATTTTTCAATTCACTGGTGACGACATCAACAGCAGCCATAACTCCTCTACGGATCTCGACAGCGTTAGCTCCCTTGCTGATGCTATCGAAACCTTCACGAGTGATGGCACGGGCAAGAACAGTGGCACAGGTAGTACCATCTCCAGCCTCTTCATTAGCCTTATTGGCTACATCCTACAACGATTTGTTCATGACATAGGAAAACCGGAGTACCAACCTGAATAAGTTTAGCTCCCAAATGATGGTATTTGTCTTTCAAGTCAACGGATTTAGCTACAGTGACTCCGTCTTTGGTAATCTTTGGACTTCCCCAAGATTGTTCAATGATAACATTTCTTCCCTAAACCAGAACTTCATTAAAACTGTAATAAAAAAAAACTACACCTTTGGTCCCATAGTTACTGAAACAGCATCAGCGATAAGATCAACACCAACAAGCATGGCTTTTCTTCCTTCAGCACCGAATTTGATATCCTTGGCATATCCTCTAACAAGGTTGCGGGCGACTGACTTGCTGGCACGTAGCATATTTGACTCTGTAAGAGAAGGGTATGAGTTAATCAAACGAGAATATAACAAAGGTAGTTGAGATAAGACTTATCAATGAGATAATAGAAAAGAAAAATCTAGAATTGCATCATCATGAAGCAAAACAATCTATTGCATGCAAGGCCGTTTTGCGCACGAGCATTGCGTCAAGTATAGATTGGGAAAGTGAAGAAGTATATTTCTAATCTTGGTGTACAAGAAAAACTAAGTTTTGATTCAGATTTTAAACAGCTAAGCATCGCTCTAGCATCTAGAACGTCTGGTAGAAAACTTGCTCTGCTGAAAGGATAGGGACGAAGAGGAAAGTTCGCGAACTCAACGCTGATTGGCTGTTTATTATAAGCCACGCCCTATTGCTAGACTGAGATAGTCAGAGACATATTTTTGCAATCTTCTTGTTCCTCTTTGGTAACTGGTTGAGAGTTCTGTTTCGTTGAAGATGTTCTTCTCTGCTGTTAGACGTGCCGTTGTAAGTATTTAAAAGTAGCTTATTCAGTTTAAACCTGAAAAAATAAGCAAAATTAGGATTACTGATATTGCATCATTTTAGGCTTCTGATATCTTGAAGTCCTTCAAGCCTCTCCATGACAGAGTACTCATTGAACGTGTTGCTGCTGAGACTAAGACCAAGGGAGGAATTATGCTTCCAGAAAAATCACAAGGAAAGGTTTGTATTCCGTTTTGATAATTTTGCATTTTTGCGCTTCTTTAAAGGTCTTGGAAGCTACTGTTGTTGCTGTAGGACCTGGACTCCGCAATGAAAAAGGAGAGCTCGTCCCAACAACTGTTAGAAGCGGAGATCGTGTCCTTCTTCCAGAATACGGAGGAACCAAGGTATTATTATCATCATCATTCTAAACTATTGCATTATTTAAAGGTTGTCGTAGAGGACCGCGAGTACTCCATCTTCAGAGAATCTGATCTCTTAGGAGTTTTCCAATAACTTATAATCTCGTTTGTAATGATCGCCACTTAGTAATAGTGTAGGCTGTTATTTGTTTTTGTTGTTCCTTTCAAAGTTTCTTATCAATGAATTTTTTTTTACGAAATTCCTTGTCTTCTTGTGCTATAAAAGACCATTCTGGAAAGCGTCTCATCGCAAACAGATAACGATAGTCTTACAAGAACTTCTCGGGGAACAGATGTATGATGTGTTATTCTAATAGTTATGAAATAACTAAAGATAAGAAAGCGCTTACGTTTCCGAGTTCTCCATTTCCACAAACAATGAAAGCCATTGAAGCACTTTTACTCCTTGAAGATAAGCATTTCTGTTGAATCTTTTACGATTTCCATTAAAGGGACCGAAGCATATCGGAATCAGTAGACTGTGTAGAGAGAGACTCAGATGTGACGATGTGTGTACGATTTGCATCAATAACAGAAAACTATGTGTATTACTTTATTAAAATTCCCCATCAAGGTTCATTACACACAATGAATAAGAGAGAAAGTAATATTGTTCTACTATGAACTAGGAAAACTGGTGCATAATATTTAGAGCTTGCTAGCAGCAGCGAGCTTCTTCAATCCTTCGGTTGAGTGGGATTTAGGACGCTCAAGAGGGAGTCCCATACCACGAGCCCAGATGAGTTGAGAAAGGCATCCGAGAGCACGGGAAACTCCGAACAATACAGTGTAGAAGGACATCTCAGTCATACCGAAGTATTGAAGGAGAACTCCGGAGTGAGCATCAACATTTGGCCATGGGTTCTTGGCCTAAAATAGATGTATGAAGCATAGAAACATCATGAATGTATCGCACCTTTCCTTGCTCCAAAAGAATGTTAGGAGCGATCTTGTAGATGGTAGATACGAGACGGAAAAGATCGTCCTTTGGCAAATGCTTGAGGGCAAACTCGCGCTGGCATTCATAACGGGGATCAGTCTTACGAAGTACAGCATGTCCGTATCCTGGAACAACCTGTCCGCTCTTCAAGTGCTTCCAGATCCATTCCTTAAGTTGTTCCTCTGAGTAGTTGAATCCAACTTCAGAGACGATCTTGTTCAAGAAGACCAAGACCTGAAAGAACACTGAGAACAGCACTCTAAGTAACAACTAACTTCTTGGTTGGCAAGACCGTGAAGAGGTCCAGCGAGTCCAGCCATAGCGGCGGAGAAGGAAAGGTATGGATCAGAGAGAGCAGATCCTACAAGGTGAGAAGTGTGGGCGGAAACGTTTCCTCCTTCGTGGTCAGAGTGGATGGTGAGGTAGAGTCTCATGAGTTCAGAGAAAAGTGGATCATCATATCCGAGCATAGAGCAGAAATTGGCGGACCTTAAACAAATGATTGTTGCTATGTTGAGCATAGACTAGATCACTCACCAATCCTTCTTGGGGTCGATGACTCCAACAGCGGATCCATCACGGTACAAGTTGCGGTAGATCATGGCAGCAACAGTTGGGAGCTTGGCAAGAAGATCCATGGAATCTTCATAAGCATACTCCCAGTAAGCAGACTTGGGAACTCCACGAGCGTAAGCAGCAGCGAACTTGCTTTCGTTATTCAAAGCAGCGATGGCAGCAATGAATTGGGCCATTGGATGAAGGTTGTCTGGGAAGTTGTCCAACATTCTAGCGACGTGAGCTGGAAGGTCAGCGCGAGCATTCCATTCCTTGGTGATGGCAGCAACCTAAACAGTTTGTTTGAGATATTTCGTTACTCCCGACATACTAACCTGCTTCTCGTTAGGGATATCTCCAGTACAGAGAAGCCACCAGATTCCTTCTGGAAGTGGCTCTTCTCCTCCTGGGATCTTAGGAAGAAGCTTCTGGCACTCAGGAATAGAGTATCCACGGAAACGGATTCCCTCCTCGGGGTCCAAGACAGAGGTTTCGGTGACCATTCCCTTCATGGAACGCATACCTCCGTAGATCTAAGAGATGAGAGTTGAAGATATAAAGAATAATTTTCACTGACCATGTCGACGTTGACCTTCTGTACAACAGTGTTACCATGCTGAGTTCTGAATTCCTTGACGCTGGCGTTGTGGGCAGGAATCTTCTTGGCAAGAACTTCCTTGAGGTTGGTGGATTGGTCAACATTGGTGGAGAAACCAACAGAGGAACAGGCAGGGATTCCAGATGCCTAGAAGATGACGGGTTCAATCTGCTTACTTTTAATCGGCTTACCTTGGAGAGAAGGGTGGAAGTTCTGCGGAGAACGTTAGCAGAGAGCGACATGATTGCGTGACCCAAAGTCTAAAAGAAAAGACATAGTTGAAAATCAGATGAGTAAGTATTCAAAATAACAAGAGCGAGAAACGCAAGAAAACCAAACACGAATATAAATTCAGAATGTACAAAATTTGTTGTCAAATTAATATTAATATTTAAATAGAGAAGTGAATGAAGGCTTCTTTGGCTGCACATTTACGCGCTTCATCTTCCGTATCACCTCTTCCAGGAAAGATAACAGTACTCTTAGAGTCACCGGATTGTACCTCTATCTTCAGCAAACAGTGGTAAGCTCCTAAATTATTGGCGTCATTAATCAATAAGGTTGAACTAAGAAATCGGGCATCGGCAAGAAGACAATATGACCTTCTTCTAGAAACGCTACGGGAAAATGTTACAGACTCGCCAACAGACATTATGAATAGGTGACAAGGCGCACTGAACTGATATGCGGCTCAAAGAACAATCATGCCTCTTGACACAGCACAAGGCTGATTTTCAATGCGATTGTGGACTGGCAAGTGTCTCCGCGGTTTGTCGTGATCGGTCTTATCAAAAAGCAACGCAAGAACCTACCACATGTAGACAAGTTGTCCAGCATTTTGAATTCATGCTTAGCAGTAGTTTTTTCCTTTGATAATGAAATTTTTTCCAAACAATCCTCTATAGTTTTCTCAGAATCATGCCTCGTTCTCTTCAGCTCTTCAGGAACAATATCAACAGTGGCGAGATCTGAAATACTCTCAGCGTGCGACTCCTCTCAGCTTCTCTCACCGTCGTCATCCTCGCACTCCTTGCTCACAACATCCCCACTCTCAATTTTTTTCAGCATTTCGTAGCAGGCCAGACTCTTTGACTGCTTCTTCTGCTTCGCTTGGCCTTTAGTTGATACTTCGTTAACCTAGAGGAATTTATTCGAACTCTATCCACACACACCAACCCACCTGACAGACGGTAGTGAAAACTTTTTCATTAGGGGGCCCTTCATCCATTTGAACAAACGTCGGTTCATCCAACTTATTTTTTTTACATCTTTAAAGCCTCCTACGTAACAGGGATAACATCATAAGAACGAACGTTTCAACCAAGGTACTGAAATAGTTGCGGCTCGGAACATAATCTGACGACCCAGACCGACTGTCAGTATCAGTACAGAACGGCTCCCTGAATGGACACATGCACTTTTCTTTCATTATAACAAACGCACAAGTAGGCACTGGCTTCTTCTAAGCTGGAAACGCGCAACCCTAACTTTTCCGCGTTTGCAAAATTAGTCTGGAGCAAGAGCATGATCATGTTCGAAGCCGCCTGTTGTTTGGCCACTTTCTTAGACGTCGCAGAACCCTGAGTTTGCAAACTAGCAATCTGGCAAGTGAGGGTGTGAAGAGGCATCCAAAATGAAATCTTTGTCAATCCTTAGTTTTTCCGTCTCTTACATTATTTTTCTCAGTGGAAATGACACTAAATTTCACTGGAGAGTTGTAAAACTTCATGCAATTCTCTTCGAGAAGACTGACAGGAGTTTTCTGTAAGAAATCCGTTAGAATAAATACCAGACCATTAAGCCATACGTTCAAAACCACATTAGTATTTACAGGTTCGTTGAGTTCATACACTTTTACCTGGGGACGACCCGCAAGTTCAAAAAGATCGTCCAAAGTAACGGGTTTTGAACTCATCTAAAAAGCTGGACGCTCATGAGAACATGGTCATAGGCAGTTAAGCCAGTGATGTTAGTATCTTTGGCAGAAAAAAAAGGAAATACATAAAAATCAAGATATCACATAAAGAAAAAAAACTGTTACTTTGCAGTTACCGGATTTTTCTCTTGGCATGTTTGTAAAGGGCGGAGACCGTCTGAATGCTATTTGAGAGATTCCGTGTGGGACCACTTTTCCTCTTATTTCAACCGCAGCTCCGTTCTGCTGCGCGATTTTACTGATTGAAGTTTGTATTTTTTATTTTGAATACTTAATTAATGCAAATCTCTTTTTTTTCAGGTCAATGTTTCTCAGCCCAAGCTATTGGGCAACTATATCACGTAGAAGAGAAGATAGACGACCACTTTATCGTCGAATCCTCACCAATCGTCGGTTGGATATTCTACATAAAAGTAATTTGAAACTGATGAGAACATAATAAATGAATGTTTGCAGCTTTTGTAAGATCAATCCTTGGTTTTATTTTGTTCAGTACGTCGTACTGTATCGTTAATACAGGGATATATTATAAATACGTACGTCCACTTCGTCAAGAGGAAAGGGAACAGTTGGAACGAGAGTTGATCGAAGCTGACAGAGCTGGTTTTGGCATAAATTTGAAGTAGTAAGTCGACATATTAATATTCCTATGAGTTTCCTTGTTTGAGAATATGATTGGCAGAATATTTTCTGCTGCTTCGTCTCGTTGGGACACTTTGTTCGCCATGGGCTTTTCTGCTGGAGCGGGTTTCGAACTGTTTAAGATCTATTTTTCATTTAAAGGTGAGCAACTTCTAATAGGACTATATTCAAATTGTCTTCAGGTGTTAACTATTATTCCGTTTTCAAAAAAAAGCAGCTTCAGAAAGAGTTAGATCAATATGAGCATACTCTCAAAGATTTGGATGACCTTCTTGAAACTGCGAAGCCCCGCACATTATAGACTAGTTAGGCTTATGTCTTCCAAGTTTCACATATTTTTTATTTGTTGTATTTGTTTTAAATTGTCAATAGCAGTAGGATAGGATAACTTGTTACTACCATTTTGTTTTTGTTTGTGTTTGACTTATGACTACGGTTAGATAGCTGATAAATGTATTCTCTGTAATAAACAAAAACAAATAAACATCGTGATCAAGGCAATGGAGTTAACTGTTGTAGTTGTTGGAATTGGTTCTTCAATTGCTTTTGCTTCTCAGCAAGTCTCTCTTGTCGTTCTTCCAAGTCATGTCTTAAAGCATTTCAATGAGATAACGGACATTGACTCGGATTACCTTCGCTCCGCTATCACATCTCTATCAGGAGCTGGTGAAGGACGTCTGGCCACTTCTTGTATTAAGTTCTTTAACTGGTCAGGAATTTCTGGGGCCTGAACATATATATCTAATCAACATTCATTTATCAATTCACCTTTGTGAATTTGTTTCGGACATCGGTTACGGAAAAACGACTTGGGGGGCGGGGAGGCTGTCCTGGTTGTCCGACCTGGAGCAAAGAAAGGTTTAAACTTTCGTCAATTGTTTTCTAAAAGTTTACCTCATCTAACACACCATCCAAACTAGATGCTGGCGATTGGTAATATTTTGGAGCAGGTGGGACAGGAGGGCATGCCTCTACTATATTAGGTGGGTTCTTCACATCAACCGTGGGTGTAAATGTCGCAGGGCGCTCGTTGGAAATGTCTGAACATCAAGAGTTGGTTCCGGTTCTTTAAAGTTTATTTCTAACCGGGAGGTCCAGAAAAAGATGGTTGTGTAACGGGAGGGGTCGTAGTCTGTATTGTGTTGACTGCGTTTGTAACAACTGTGGTGGAAGGTACCAGCGAAGGAGCTGGAGCAGCTATAGCTTCTTTATCCTTTTTCGATCTCAAAGAAGGATCTTGAACCATAGCCAGTTTTTTCATAGTAACCATGATATTGGCTAACCCTTTGCACCTGAAAATTGAGAGGTCCAATGATTCTGATAAGCTGTCTGAACCTTCGTAATGTTTGGTCCACTGCAGCTGTTTGTTCTTTGATGAACTTCTCTTCCCTCACGATTCTTTCCATATCCGATTTAAGCTTACGCTCAATAGATTGTTGGATAGGTGGAAATTCAGCTTAATCATAGATATAAATTTAAAATATTTCTTTTTACGTACTCTTGAGGGCGGCAGCTGTTCTCCCTATTTCTGTTAGATTTTCCGTCATTTGTTCTACTTCGGACATTCGAAGTTTCTTATTCGTTTGTAAAACACTACTTCGGACTAACTCGACATTCTGCTCGAAGTCGCTTCAAAGAAAAATTTTGAATGGAAGAAGGTGAATCTCTTACGTCAATTGCTTCAGTAGATCAGCTAATCTTTCCGCATGCTGTTCACGTTCTCGTTCTTCGATTTCGCTCTCAGATTGTCGACTACTAACTGAAAAACTTCCACCACCCATTCTTTCTTGTATGAGATGAGTGATCTGTTCTCCAGCATCTTTTATCAAAGTTCGAGCAGCCTGCGCATTGATCTGGAAATGACTGTTTGTTTACTTTTCAGTTCACCATCAACAGTAGAAAACCTGTGCAGTCCTACGTAGCTGATGAATTTCAGTGTTCGCTTGTTGTATTTTATGCTTTAAAGCTCCCAATTGATGATGAGTATGAGAAGTTAAACTTTCAGGGATAGAGCTTGGCTCTTCCGATGACTCCCGAATTTCAGGATGAAGAGCTAGAATCTGTAAGAACAAGAGTGTGCAAATTAAGTTTTAAGAGTTACGTACTTCCTTACGAAGTTCAGCCATATCCTTATGAGCCGTCTCACTCATTCCTTTGCTAACCAAAGCTGAATGAACAAGACTTGAAAGTCCTGCTAGCTGTCGTTCCATTGTTTCCATACGAACTCTGAAAAGAGGAACAAGTGTTATAAGGTGTTTCCATTTGTGTCAACAGCCAGTAGACAAGCTGGGTTGAGTGTATAGTCTCTCAGACTGACTCTGAATTACCTGGATTCTCGATCTATAACTGGAGTAGTACTTCCACTCCTAGTGACAGAAGCTCTTGAGTCCATTACGGAGCTACTGTCACTAGCATAGTTATCCATGTAAGGATCATAACTTTTTTGTCTAATGGGTTTAGGTGGTCCAAAATCTGCATGTGCTAACGCGGAAGCCGGTCTTCCAACCGCGGTCGGTACTCTTTAAAATTCAGAATATGACTGTTATGATTGAAAGCTTTACCTTGGTCTTCCACTATCATACTCAGTCTCAGACAAGTAGTCCGGTTGCTCCAGGAATCTAACAGGTGATTGGAGACCTGTATGTAGTCCGTTATAGTGCTTCTCCTTGAGCTTTAGTACTGATTTGTTCCTTATGTCTCTACAAAACAAGTATCACTTTTTCACTATTGACCGAGACGTACTTTGGATCCTCAAGTTCATAAAATATTTGGGCGCCAGCCTTTGATTGATCTTGGATATACACTTTTACATTAGGTTGTTCTATATAACTTCTAGCTAGATTAGGAAATGCTCGTAGAAAAGCAATTTTTATCTGAAACACAAGGTTGAGTCAAAGATGAGTGAGGGTTTGCTTACTTGAGATAATCCTCCAATATGTGGAGGTAAAATACTTCGTTTAACTTCATCATTATATTGTAAGAACACTACATTCATCTCATCCAGTTGGCTGCGGAAAGAGGAGTTGTCGTTAGTTATTGGACGGAATGTATTTGGTGATAAGCTAGCATCCACATCCCTGGAACACACAACTTGGATAGTATGACATCAATATCTTACCTGTAATCTCGAGTGAGATATGAGCAATCTGTTACAATAGAAGAACTATAAGAAGGGCTTATATTATTAGGACTTATACGGCCTCCTCCGTATGAAGAATTCGGGACATTCAACGTTGAGGGAGGAATATTCCGACGAGGATTATCCTGCATATACATTCAGTATTAATTCGATTCAGTCGTCAACTGACCTGCTCTCGCAAGCTTTGTAGAACTACTCCGGCTTTTGATGGTCTTGGAGGAGGGCGTGAACGAACTTCCTCTTCAACGGTGGCTAGTGGGGCAACACGAATTTGAACCTACAACAAAAAAACATTTTGAAACGTTTCGGAGCGGAAAAGAAGCAACCGCACACACGCCACTTATTCAAAACAATAACAGCTACGTGCGTAATTAGCAAAACATGGCGAATAAATTATTGATTACCTCATCAGCATATTGCCATCCGTTAGATCGATGATCTTGTACCGCATTACGTGAGTTGCCTGTAAAATCAAATTCAAATAACCGAAGAAATATTAAAAAGGAAATTTATTTTTGAAACAAGCGTCTGAGATCTCTCTTTCACAATGCATCATATGTGACATGATGGAAGTATCACGTTTTTTGAAGAAAGAGGGACATCTGGTGAATGTGAAACAAATGTAATATTTAAGCTATTCAAAACAACACGTTTTTTTGTATGTTACCACATTGAACGGTTTTCTCACCATTTGCTGGAGAAACAGAGCCTATGACACGTGCCTCGCCGTACTCATTTTGCCAGTCAGGCTCAGCCATGTATGTATTATCTTCATACTCATTTCTCATTTCGTTGAAGCGGACTGATCTTTTGACTGGCTGATGCTGAATAGTAGCCTGAGCTTCTGGAGGAACGTTAGTGTTTGTGTTTGAGGTAGGATTGATGGCTACATTTGCAGGTATCTGAACCTGCACGGCTCTCTCTGGCTCTGGTGTTTTGCGCCCTAGCAAACGGTTTTTCCAACCGAAAAGCCCGGGCATGGTTTTCCAGCTATAATCGTTTTCTTAGAAATGGAAGAGATGAAACAAAAAGACACAATAACTAAGCAGCAACAAGTTGACACTTCGAGATTTCCAAAGAAAAAAAAATGAAAGTGACCATAGAGTAGGAGGATAGCTGAATGAACTTGTGTATAAAGCAAAAGAAAGAACAAGAAGATTTTGGAGTGCAGAAGTTTGAGCAGCACCGGAGATGAGTTGATGAAGAGAGCAGCAGCTGCGATTAGCCATCTAGACAGATAAGAATTTAAAGAGGAGTCAGAGAATATTGAACAGGATGAAGATCTTAGGCTGTGCAAGCTGGGAGCTGCTGTTGCTTCTATTTTACACCGAAATGGCAAGAACTCCTCGGAGCAACAGCTGTTAGGGTCGTTGTCCGAGTGCGCGACAATTACTACTAGTTGGCTTTGGTAGATGATTTCGTGACTTTTCTATCCCTCACCTCTCTCTCTCGCCCGCTCTTTCATCTCCCCCCTTCTTCAAAAGAATATTGGCAAACAGGGAGATAATTCCTCATGATCACTGCCCTTATTCAACTGCTCCACGCCATTTATTGAAGCGAACGCAGCTTCTTTCATTCAAACTTTCTAGAGTATTTTGAAAATGCCATGTGCTAACCTTCTGATAATAGATGTCCCATCCACTTATCAAGTTTTTTCATTTTAGCTTCTGGGTGTTCAATTTGAACTCTGCCCGCAACTGGTAAAGGTACCGCTTTCAACTCCGAACAAGGGTAAGACGACTTTCTACCGCTAATGAGTATGGACTTCAGCTCTTCTGGAGCAGCTTGATGACGATGTACTGGCAAAGGAGGGGGTAATGGTGAAGATCGATCTAAAGAAGTGTTCTATAGTTTTGAGGCAGAAATAATCAAACCGCGAAGGGAAGAAGTTCGTCGTCGAGATAAACCAGCTGCTACAGCCTTGTTGATATTTCGGACAACACCACGTTCAGAGTATGATCTGAAAAACAAATATGGGAATTAGGGTAAGTGAAGCCTTTTAAGGCTACCTAACAGTTTTGTAATAACTAATAAGGGAAATTACCTGGACAAATGAGTGTCGCCATCATCCAGACGAGGACTTCCTCGTCTTCTCGGCTGTGGTGTTATGCAACCGAACATTTCATAATCCGCTTAAATTATAAATAATTATTCGAACTAACCACTGTACAAACGACAAGCAGATTGAACTATAAGAAGGCGAAATTTTGAAGGGTGGGTCTTCTTCTACTTCTTATCGATTGGAAATTATCTCCTGAAGCTGAGATCGAAACGAACGTCGTTCTGCCGCTCAAGAGCCCTGACGGTCATCTGAAGAAGAGGCAGACGACACAGTCAGAATATGTAAATAGAAAATTCATCTTCAACGGAAAGATAAGTCACTTTTATATTTTCAGACGTTCAGAAGATCTATTACTCCAAAAAACAAGAATGACCCTTAGATTAGTAGTCATTTGCGGAAAGGCTGCAGGTTGGTACTCCCCAGTTTGAGCAAACAAAGCGATCTGAAAACAGAAAGGGAAGTTCACAGAAAAGTAGAAGCTAATAGAAAGACAGAGCGATCAGCACTCAGTGACACAACTATCTGTAGACAGTAATCGGAAGTATTTATAAAACACCTTGAGGCAGGCGAGCTTCAACGATACGAAAGACAACTCTTATATCAAAACAAAAATACATTTTTACAACACGAGTTCTTCTCTTAAGGAACTATCTGAGGTACAAGATTATTATCTCAAATCCATTTCTCCTATGGATATCGACGATAGATTGGCAGAGGTTGTACGAGCACTGGCCGTCGAGCTTTAAGAGCTTTACATATTCCTGCAACTGGAGACATTCCTACAGGACATTTCAATTCTGAAATCATCTTGCTAAACCCGGTTTCTTGAAGTTCGACTTACGACATCTCCTGATAATTTTCCCTTTCACTTCTTCTGTGAAAAGAACTAAGTGACCTGGACAAGGCGCGGAAAAGTTTGTCTTCGCCGGTTTCTTCTTCTTCATGTTAGGACGTAACGGAGATAAATACACACCCGGAGGTACTTCTCCTCCTTGCTTTCTGAGCTGAAAAACAGATTTTCGTCTTACTGCTCTATCTACCCTTCTACCTCTAACATGTAGGTTTCCATATCCAATTGAGTTCTGGTTTGTGAGCAACAATGGAACTGTCTAGTTCTAGTATTTCTTCGACAACCATAACCTTCAGGACATCTCTGGAAACGAGAGCATACCACTGGTTGACCAGTTTTGGGGAAGATCATTGCTTCTCCTACAGCGCATGCCTCTTTCATTACTGAATAAGGTTATCATTTGTATACTCAAAAAAGTTCCTTACTAGTGCTTCTCAAATCTTGAGAGCCAGTCGTGCAGCAGAAATATTCTTGGACAGTCTTGCTGAACGAGCATCGGTATCCATATGGACATGTTTGACCAGCAAGACATTTCCGAGCGATGCCATTGTTCATATATGGTGTACCAGTGGAGCAGAGACCTGAGAATACACACTTATTTCGAAATATCTTAGAAATAAAAGACCTTCGAACAAGGAGTTCTCGACAGGAGCACTGGTAGTCGTTTTTGGTGCTGATGTAGTTGGCATGAGAACCAGAGGTTTATGAGTCACTTCCATTTGAGGCTTTGGCATGAGCGATATCACTGGTTTAGTATTCCTAATCAGCTTATCACAATCATCTCCCTTTAATCAGTTCAAGGTTATTAGTTCTGTTAAAATACGGCGAACCTTTCGTTTATAATCTCTCGGACAGTCACAAACTCCTTCAATACAGATGGCATTTCGTGGGCATTGTAAATTGTGGACGCAAGCTCTACCCAGCGAGACAAGTGGGAGACACTCGTCATTCACGAGAATTTGTCTTTCAGAACAACCTTTGACAAGATTTGAACTAATGAATTGCTCAATGTTAATAAAACCTTGAAGTTCTTCAATAGGAACACATTGTTGAGCTTCTTCTTTCATCTTTGAAGGACAGCGACATTTCCCTTTCTGACAATAAGATCCTCCAACGCACTGCATGCTGTCCAAACAAGGCGATCCAATAGGCTGACGAGATAAACATTCTCCATTGACGCGAACTTGAGAGGAGTCGCAAGCTAAAACAATGTTTTCCCATCTCAGAAGCTTCATATACCTTCTCCTCCTGCACAACAAATTTCATTACCGGACTTTCCTTTCACACAAGAGAATCCTTCAGGACATGGTTGTCCACCCTGCATGGAGCAACCTTGCGGTTCACTTGTCATACTTATGAATGCCACCTGAAGAGTTGAATGGTGAAATAAACATGTAGAACCATTGAACTAACCATCCCAGTAGGACATTGGCTTGGTATTCCGCAACATTGGAATTGCTTGTTATCATTACTGAATTGACAGAAATAACCCGTAGGACATAAGTGGGTGGCTGAAGTACAGATTTTCGGTTTCTTCGTGTCTAAGTCAATAAAAGCGATTTGCCGAGAAGGACATCCGTCACCTGAAAAAATTCAATAAATCTTCAAATCTGTGTGAAACAACTCACTTTCGATTTGAACAGGAGCAACTTCAACTCCACAGCATTGATATCGTTGACTTCTAACAGACCATTGACAAGAGAATGATTCCGGGCATCCTTGATTCATCGAGTTGAATGGATCACAGATAACAACCTATTTAAAGTTACACGAATTGCTTTCTTCTGTACTACTCACTTCATTTCTTTCCATGAATACAATTTCTCCAGGAGGACATCCATCCGTGGGGGCTATTACTGGAGGTCCCTTACAGCAGTAACCAACTGCTCCGTCATTATGAGTCATACACGTGAACCCTTGAGGACAAGTAACAAAATGACCGATGGTACAAGAGCGTGGCATTCCGGAAGATTCATCCACAAAGTATTCTTCCTTGTTAGGACAGATATCTGCAGGGCTATGTTCGAAGAGCGATCGTTTGCACATCTAACCTGATACAGAACAGCAATAGCCTTGTAAAGCATCTTTCAGATCGCTCTGACACTCAAAACCATCAGGACATCCAGATGTTAGCTTGTTCATGGTACATCTTAGAGGTTGAAGACTCACTTGGTCTTTGAATGAAGCACGACCAGATGGACAATAATCTAAACAGCCCTATAGTCTACCTAGTCTACCTCACAAACTTTTCTTCAGTGATCCACAACAGAAGTAACGATTTTTCAGAGTGTTGAAGCGGCAAAGGTAATCTCGAGGACAAGAGTTGTGTTCGTTGATCAAACATTCTCGAACAGTTGTGTCCATCGCATTAATGTAAGCCTAGAATAAATTAAAATCATTCTAATAATCCTGTTATCTCACCTTTTCCCCATCAGGGCAGACGCCCATATCAGTAGCTCCACAGCAAACACTTTGATCAGTTAGTTGATCATAGATACACTGCAATAGGGATAGGAAACATTCTGAACTATCACTTCTCTCACCTGGAAATTCTTGGGACAATTGTTCTGTAACTCATCTTTGCAACTGATTGGCTGCTGTGTGTTTGGATTCAAATAAACAACATCTCCTGCCTTGCAAGCTGGAAATATTTGAAGATAGATAGAGTTGCTAGAAACATCCAACCTGAAGCCAAACAGAAGTTGTTGCATTGGTTCAGAGAAGCGAAGTTGTTCGGGTTGCCATCACATCCATTGTACACGAATGATGTACACTTTCTCGTGACGATGTTGAAGTAATAGCTGCAAGCATCAGTTCATTGACGTCTTCGATACATATGCAAACCGTGAAACTACTGAAGATCCTCCGGAACAAAGCGATGAGCCTGCTTGAGAGGGAAGTGAACAGATATCTCGCTTTGTTGGGCAGCAACGGTATGAGGTTATATCAATTCCAAGAGCAACCGCCTGGCACTCGTGAGATGATGGGCAACCACCTTCCTTTTCGCTGCAGGTCTGCAGGCTTCCAGAACTATCTCTCAACGGTATTCCACCATTTGCACAGCCTAAATTATATTCATAGTTTGGAAAGAAAGGAGAACTAACCTCCAACGCCACAGTAGTTCTCACAATCCGTTCTGGAGTTGAAGTTGTTGGAGTTTCCATCACAACCAAAGTACTCAAAGGATTCACATTCTTGTGTCTGAGTGTTATAATAATATTTGAATGAAATTCCTGGTCCACAGGTTTTTCCGGAATGGAATGAGAGAGAACAAGTATAAGCTGCAAAGAAGAATTCTTCAAAGGCCCACAGCTCTGTTTACCTTTAGTGGGACAACAGCCATGCATAGTACCATCGAAATGACACTCATAGTTTGCTGGACAAGATGAAGACTGCCTGTTGATTGAGCAAAGCACGAATTTTCCGGAAGCATCTTTATAAGCTTGCCCTTGTGAACAACGAGGTTCAGCTGAAGAGGTTTTGAAGAACTTGATGAACGGTAGTCACTTACGTGCTGCATTACGACAAAAGGTTTGACAGTCAACCAGGGTTTCAAAGTTGTTATCGTTTCCTTGACATCCTTAGAAAGAATGGTTACGATGAAACTCTGATGAAAAAGTTGTTCGAACCTGTATACTCGAAAGATTGACATTCCCGAGTAGAAGCCGAGTAGTAGAAACGACGAACCGATCGATCACAATTTCCCATCAGCAGTGGTTGAGTGCATATAGTTTCTGAACTTCAAATTATTTCATAGCCATGCTTTTGGTACTTACGCATCCGTGGGCAACAAACGGATTGATCAACCTTACATTCATGAGATGATGGACAATCATCATTGCTCTGACATCCTTGGGTTACATCTCCGATTCTCAAAGGGTTACCACGGTCACATTGAACTGAAATCAGAGATATATCAGGATGCTCTTGAAAATTCATAAAAGAAAAAGGAAATCATAGTATGTCAAGCAAGTTATGACGCTGTCAATTTTCTCAAATGACATGCCAAGACAATCGAATCAATTATTATAATCAAAGTACAAGCTACACAAATGGGCGTTTGGGCACAAACGCTTTGTTCGAAAAAAAGAAAAACTCACGTCGAGCACAAAATAGTTCACAATCTATTCTGGATAGGAAGTTATTGTAATTTCCACCAGCTCCATAGTAAGTGAACGGAGAGCATTTTCCGCTGTTTGGATCATAGAAGAACCGAGTAGATGGAGAAGTACCCTGAACAAGAAGTTTGTATCAAGAAGTCTTGATCGAGTTACTTGTTTCTCAACCCCTGAATGGTAAACTGTTTCACGAGTATGAATAGATGGATCTAATGGACGTCCACCTACGATTCCGCAAACAGTTGCTTAAAATCGAGATTAGCTTGATCTAATTGAGCATTTCGTTACCAACACTAGGACAACACCATTGCGAGCTCCCAACTGTCTTGCACTCAAAGTGATTGCCACAAGAAACTGCTTGAGAGCATCCTGTTATGGGAGTTTGCTCCAGTAAGCTGGACCTTTGCTCGTATTCCGAAGCTCCACGAATGCAAGCTGAAACATGAAAAAGTGGCTACTGTTCGTCCAGAATTCTTACAATCGCGACAGTAACTTTCACAATGCTCAACTGTTCGGAAGTTGTTCGGGGAATGCTCACCAGGACCAACAGCGGTTGGGTCCCAGAGAAACTGTTGACATACTCCTAAAACCGTACAGTAAGATTATTTTCACTTGAATAAAAAACCTGTGATCGCATTGTACCACCAACGAGGTTCAGTTGGATTAGGTCCTGTTGCAGTTGGTTGAATACAGGTAAAAGCTAGACGAAGATATTTTTCTGAGATGTATGAATATTGACCCACCTCTATTAGGACAGCAGATTCCATTTGCTTTTTCACTGTATCCTTGGCTAGTCAAGTCCATTGTAGATACGAACTCTACGCAATCGTACAAATCGGCTATGTATGATCCATCGGACGGCACCACACAAGCTACAGCACCATCTCCAAGCTGTAATGCTGTGATTGATAATTGGTTTCCTCGAAACTAATACCTCCTCAGGTGATTGAGTTGTTTGAATACTGTCGGAATTACATAGAACAGGACCTGATCTATTGTTCTGTTTCGGATGTTTGGGATCAGATAGAGCAGATGTATAACTATAACCAATAGCTTGAAAACCAAAACGTAGTACTGATCTCACCCTGCCCCTTCAGGAAGAGGACATGTAATGGCCAATGTATTCTGATTAGAATCATACACATCCAAGCATACATGACCATCTCTTGTAGCTTTCTCTATCTGAAAAGCTTGAATTGAGAACTATTAACTAGAATTGTCACCTTATTCTCTCCACAACGACATGTTCCGACTCCGGATGAAGTATCACAGTAGGCATCTGGCCATACAGAAAAACATTGTTCGTGATGTAAGCAACCTGCCTGTCCGGGATCGATTTCTGAATAATTCAATATCAGAACGATTAACTTATACCACATACTTTGGTAACAATATGAAGCTGCGGCTATGTAAGTTGACAGACAGGCGCATTGTCCAGAGTTACAAAACATTCCCTGAAATGAAATGGTCTGTTGGAAGACAGAACAAGTGGGTGAGATACAGTGAGACAATCTGTATTGAAGGAACAAGCATCTCCTACGAGACCGCTTCCTGGCTGCCTTTCTGGTCGGTGGAAGGCACTTTGCTTTGCTAAAAAAAATGTCTATGGTTTCAAAATATATTTATTAAGTTATTGCATCGTACAATAGTACGTACAGTTAAATTCTTCTCACAAACCAAGAAGAAAATATTACCTGCGACAGAAATACTGAACGTTAAGAAAATGCTTTTAAGCAGAAGCATATTTCTTATGGCCAATAGGTTTGACCTTATTAAGTAACAATGAGGATTGGTTAGATTCGATGTTCCTATATAATGCGGGGAATGAGATAAATAAGAGAGGGGTAGAAAATATTTCGAAAGGGAATAGAAATAAAGCTAAAATGGAATGAACAGCTTAGAGATGAAGCTGTGAAATGGACGTAAAAGGGAGTTCAAGGGGAGGTGCTTACACAGTGATGATAGCAAGACAGGCAAACTGTCAAAACTTAAGTCGGAAAGAGGGAAATGAGGAAACAACCTCCGTAAGAACACAATTACGGTCAAACTAAGAGATAGAGAAAATCGCTACTGACAGCAGTAGTTACTTCCTTATCTCTTCATAATGAAAGTCCGCTAACAGAAATGTGAGAGAAACAAATCATTAAATACAGAAGAAGACAGCAATGGTAAACAGTCCGTTACAGTACAAAAGAATTAAGCTCTATCTGCGGTATGAGCTCTAAACCAACTGCTTCGCATAATTATTCAATTCAAAACAAATTCCACCAATAGCAACTTGAGGATGAGGGCAACTTCGTTCTGTAAAGCGATATCAATTAAGTCTTACTATGAATATTACCGCATTGTTTTTCTATTCTTCCATTGACTATCCTCGAAACTAAAACATTGAATCCTTCACAAGGAGCTGCTGGAAATAATAAAGTATAAATTGGTTTTTCCCTAATACAGTTATACCCGCAAATCTATGGAAAGTGTATGGTCTGTCAGAGTTTTTGGAAGAGCAGCATACGTACGACACTGATTTGAGACTTTTTTGACATGCATATCTATAAAGAACATCTGTTTAATATGACGAAATTCACTTTTGTGTATTCACGTAGCCTGTAGGAACAGACACATCGTTCACATAGTTATGACATATCATGACAGTTTGGGTCAATATTCATTTTACCTAGCTATCTGTCAAACATCCACACGCCTCACGATCATTTTGACCGGTGCACCGTCATCAAACATTTGTATATGATACTTTTACTTTTTCTCTTTAGGGGATACGATATAAAGAGAAAACCCACCCTATGGGGCAGCTTCGACTACCAGGATTACAAAGAACGGGGGTCCTTGTACTTGGATGAATCAAAACAGCTCCGCGTAGGCATTCATCTTCTGTTAAGCCAATAATTATACCAGATATACTATTAGTCGAAATACCAAGTTTCGAGACGATTCCAAGATGTTCGGCCTTTGTTGTTCTAGCAGTTGATGACTTAGCAGAACAGCAATAGTAATTCTATTGGTTATAACAGCATTCTTTATTTATTATTCATTGGAATCCTTACCTGATTTTTATAAAGGCATTCATAACCCTGTGGGCATCTCTGACCATTACACTTCTGTGGTGAGCCATTCAGCAAGTAGGGAATCCTACCAAATGGGCATACTGGGTTAGAACATTCAAGTTGTTTGCGATCTTAAATTTCAAAAATACCATTTTTGCTAGTGGTTGTGGCTATGGTTGTAGTGGATTCATGGATTTCCTTAAAATCAGAGCAACACATATATTGAGTTTTTTTCGCATTGATCTTAAAAAGTAATTGTTTTGCATCTTTAACTGCTTTCTCACTTGACAATGATAACCAGATGGGCACGATTTCAGACTCAAACTACAATAAATTACTCTACCCGTCTCTTCATCGCGTAAAGGCTTCGATCCAGATTTCGAGCATGTCGCAGTTGTCACTGTAGAAATAATTGTTTAGATGTGAGAGTGAGAGAGAGTGAGAGAGAGATAGAGAGGAGAAAAATCAAACTTTAGAATGCAACTGATCTGAGCGGGAAAAAATAGAACTCACATTTAGATTGCACGATCTGATTGGGTTGAGCGATACAAGCTCCTTTTCTTTCTATCAGACCTCTTTTACACTCGCAAACACCATCCATGCATCCAGCACCATCAGGACATTGCTTTCCAACAACACAACCTTCTCCCACGCGAGCCATGTTATGGCACATTCCAGTGAAAAGAATTTGATTCTCCCCACAAGCTAAAGATCTCATGTTTAAAATAGCTCAATCCAAACTGACCAATTTCTTTTTGACAAAATCCACCAACGAGAGTTGTTTTAGCCGGACAGACACACATTCCCTCTCTACATACGCTACCTCCCATACATTGCTCGTCAGCTAAACAATTATCTCCCGGAGAAACACGTTGATGACAAGAGCCATCAAGTTGTATTTCATCTTCAGTACAACTTGCTACTGTAAACGACTAGTTAGGATAGCTTTGAAAATATTAACATACTGCTCTCGACGGTACAGCATACATGATGTCCTGCAATTGATCGTTTGCATGCGAATCCTAGAGGACAGTTTGATTGACCGACAACACATTTTTCCGGCTCTCCAGAAACACCAATAAAGGCAACAGCATTGTTCATGCAACCTAAAATAAGTTGGTCATCTTCTATAGCACGGAAATAACTGTACCTCCACTAACACCGCAGCACTGGAACTGGTGATTCACAGAAGAGAATTGACAAAAGTAACCAGAAGGACAGGTCTGTTCGGACCCGGCTGTACATACTCGAACACTTTCTTTTTCTCGGAAAGCTACCTGTCCGCTAGGGCAGCCATCATCTGAATAGGAAACATCAAAAGTCTTTCAAATAACGAAATTGTTTACTTGTACGAACAGGTGGAGGCGAAGGATTAGAACCACAACATTGGTACCTTTGATTTTCAGTAGACCATTGGCAAGTGTAACCAACAGGACAAGGAGCGTTAGGAGGGTTGAATGGATCACACTGAGCAATTTCACCATTGAGCATGTGGACGTAATTTCCTGGTGGACAACCATCCGTCGTTTCTAAATGATGATTTAAGATTCAAACATGTTATGATAATACCAGGAATGACACCCGCCGTTATAATATCAGAACGGCAACAGAAACCTTCAGTGCTCGATGAAGCTGATCTTTAAGTGACACAGTTAGTTTGAAACCAATCTCCAGTATATACCTGCAGGTAAATCCTCCTGGGCATGAAACAAAAGACCCCATTGTACACGCTCTTGGTTGCATTGAATGATCATCAACGACGTACTCAGCATCGTCAGGACAAATTGCTGAAACACAAAAGTTCTGATATGTCACTGTTAGATAGTCTTACAACTAGCGGAGCAACAAAATCCTTGAAGTGCATTAGTCAAGTATGATTGACACGAATATCCATCAGGACATTGATCTGCTCTGCCCATCGTGCATCTTGTAGGCTGAAAGAAAGGAAAAGAGTTATACTTCACAACTAAAAAAACTCACATGAGATGTGCGAGAATCCTTGAACAAAAATTTTCCCTTTGGACATGTTTCTGAAACAAAATCCTTTAGGATAGGAATTCAACAAATACAATACTTCCTGTATGACTGGCGCAACAATAATACTTATTTTTCTGCATATGGAAGCGACACAAATAATTAGAAGGACAGGAAGCTTCAATGTTAATAGCGCATTCTCTTGCTGTCATGTCGAAGGTGTCAATGTAAGCCTTTTCTCCTTCAGGACAAACACCTTTAAAATTATATTATATTAGGCTAGTCCAATTTTGTGGGATATACCTAAATCTGTAGCTCCACAGCAAACGTGATTATTTATCAGAGGATTAAATGTACAAGTGAAGCCAGATGGACAACTGTTACTCAAAGCTTCGTTACAGTTTATAGGCATCTGAGTGTTGGGATCCACATACGCAATATTTCCGGCAGGACATGCTGAAGAATAAACTCATAACTCTTCGAGAATTTTTCAATTCACTTACAGTTGCTCATACAAAATGATCTGCATTGTTGTATAGTTAAGAAGTTGTTGTTATTCCCATCACATCCCCCGAACTGGAAAGTAGCGCACTGTCCAGTGACAATGTTAAAGTAATATCTTGTAACGAAGTTGGCAGCACAGGGAGTTCCTTGTTGAGGAGGTAAAGAGCACATGTAAGCTGAACCGAAAGCTTTAAAAACTCAACTCCTTCTCTCACCTCTGGTTGGGCAGCATCGATGAATCATGGTAACTCCTGAGAATACAGGAACACATTCGTGCGTTTCCGAACAGCGTTGAGAAGAACTACAGATAGTCATCATTCCAGCATGATCTCTCTGTGGTAATCCACCGTTTGGACATCCTGTTTAAACGTTATTTTGAGTATTGTTACAACATTTTACCTCCAACAGAACAATAGGCCTCACAACTTTCACGTGTAGCGAAATTATTGCTGTTACCGTCGCATCCATTGTACTGGAAGCTTTCACAGTTCTGGGTGGAAGGATTATAGAAGAATTTGAAAGTGGAACCAGCTCCGCATTGGATACCACTATCAGAATTCAATGTGCAAGTATAAGCTGAAAACATATAAGTTGTTTATATTGTTGAGAGCACAGTACATTTCAATGGACAGCATCCCCATTGAGAACCGTCGAATGTGCAATCGTAATTAGCGGGGCAACCCATGCCATTAGAACAAGAAACGAAATTTCCAAACTGATCTTTGTACGCTTGCCCTTGCATACACTTTGGTTCAGCTAAAAAGCGAAAGTAACAACAGTTATTCTGAAAAAAACATACGTATAGCATTTTTACAGAAGTTCTGACAATCCATATGGGAAACGAAGTTGTTATCATTGCCTTGGCAGCCAGTGTACTCGAACATTTGGCATTGCCGCGATTTAGCATTATAATAATAGCGTTTCACATTTTCCGTACAATCTCCCACACGTAAAGGTTGAGCACAGATAGTTTCTGAAGAGTAATGATAAGTAACCAAGTTTTGTACGTTGTAGTAGTACGTTTTCTTGGACAACAAACTCCTTGATCAGCTTTACATTCATAAGAGGAAGGACATTGAGCATTCGTTTGACAATGTTGTGAAACTTCCCCGATTTTCAACGGTGAACCACGTTCACATTGCACTAAAAAGATGAATAAGTTATTGAAAAGAATCATTGTTTTGCTCACATCGTGAACAGAACATGTCGCATTCGTGTTTAGAGAGGAAATTGTTGAAATTTCCACCAGCACCTTGATAGATGAAATCATGACAACGTCCTAATGAAGGATCATAGTAGAAACTGAAATTATTATCTAAACTGACTAGTGATAGAGTTCCACTAACCGAATAGTCTCTCTTCCCGTTGTTACCTTAAAGCCTGGGTGGAATATTGTAGAGCGAGGAGTAAGGTCATATGGTCGTCCACCACGAGCCGAGCAAATAATAGCTGAATATTGGAACAAGGGAATTATTGATAGTTTTTGTTTTCTATAAACCTGGAGTGGGACAACATAGATGCTGACTCCCGACTGCAGTGCATTGAAAATCGTTAGCACAGCCAGTTGTACCACAGGTAGTTAGAGGTCTCTCATTATGCACTACAGCTTCGTTTGAGTACTGAGGAGGACCCCGTTGGCAAGCTGTTAATATCATTTGATAGAAAGAGATAGTCATGTTGAACTTACTATCTCGACAATACGATTCGCAGTGCTGTATCGTTTTGAAGTTGTTAGCGGAATGGTATTTAGCTTCAGTAGCAGCTGCGTCCCACATGAACTGCTGACAGGTTCCCGTTACCGCGTTGTACCACCATCGGGATTCCGTGGGATTAGGTCCAGTTGCTTGTGGTTGTATACAAGCCAAAGCTGAAGTTAAATCATGAAATGTGATCAGCAGGAATAAGAACATACTTCTGCTGGGACAGCAAACTCCATCTGCAGATGCAGCATAAGAAGATTGAGGGAATTTGGTTGCAACTTGAACCTGGAAAGGTCAAATATATAAATTAAGTAGAACTGGTTATCAGAGTATGCCACGTGTTCTTTACAGTTAAAACAATACTGCCGGAAGTGGCGTCAAAAAAGACGCGGTTATCAAATTAGCATAAATTCGATTTCGCCTTGGAGCGAAGTTCAAACCATTCTTCAAAAGTATGGCGTTCAAACAACTTACGTGGGGGCTAGTATGTATACAGTCATAAATATCTCCTAGGAATTCTCCGTTGGAAGGCCACATGCAACCTGCTCCCCCATGGAGCCCAGAAATCGGTTCGACCGTCGCTGAAGATCCTACAGTGCATGATACGGGGAAAGATCCAAATTCTGGATTAGGATCATTGAGAGCTGAACGAGAGTATTATACAAGTGTTAGAGGAACTTATCAAACCTATTTTAAAACCAGCTCCTTCTGGAAGTGGACAAACAAAATACAAAGGTGCTGTGCCTCCAGTGCCCTGATCTTTCAGGGAAATGCACACCCATCCGTCACGTGTCTCCCTGGCGACATGAGTTTCTTCTGAACATAACTGGATGCAAAGTTCCTTGCACTGGGTGCATACCTGGACAACGACAAGTTCCAACGCTGCTATCCATGCTACATTTTGATCCGGGCCAAACAGATTCACACTGTACATCATAAGTACATCCAGGCTGGTTCGGATTAATTTCTTAAAAAATACTCCGTTTAGAAATCAACAAATCAGCCATACTTTCATAGCAGTAAGATTCGCGAAGAATGTAGGTACTAAGACAAGTACACATACCACCAGAACAGTACATTCCCTGAAAAACTACTTCAGAAAACTATGGGCACAGCGATGATCTTACACTCAGGCAATCCGTGTTGTATTGACACACATCTCCTACTCTTCCACTTCCTAGATAATACACTCAGAGACCATAAAATTTCTCATTCTTACCAGATACTGATAACCCTTGCATGAAAGGCATAATCGTTGGATCTACACATCCTCGATCTTTTATATAATAAGTGTTTCTAGCACAATGCTTAATTCGGAAATGACCCTGCCAGCACTCCAAGCTCATAGAGACTGATTGGGAAATAAGGCTGTAAACGCATAGGTGGGAGAGAAGTAGACTAAAGACTTACTTAGTAGTGGGATCACAGAAGAGGTAAGGAGCTGTTAATTTCCCTGCGCATGCTCCACCAACAGTAAGATTACAGTTTTTACAGGGATCATTTACATCACATTCAAATGGTTCGAAGTAAGACAATTGGAGACTAAGCTGGATACAAAAAAGCCATCCATAAGATAGCAAGACGACCACACGGGTCATTCTTTGGATGAGGTCTAAAAGCTTGAACGTTACGAAGATGATTTAAGACTGAAAGGGATAGACAAATGAAAACTGAAAACGTGACCAATGACCGCACATGAACGAAAAAGAACGTCTGGAGCTGGTCATTTGACAGTTTGAGTGAAGATGAAGGTGGAGCAGAAGATGGGATTGTTTATAGGTGACAGTTCTATCAGTGTCTCCGCTTCCCTCGACCTCCGTGCGTGATTAAACATTGTAATTGGCGATGGATACCGTCTAAACGAGAGATTTCAGATAAACAGACTATTGGATATTAAGCTTTGAGTAGACGAGACCTAGGTGACAGATCTTCTATGAAAGGAGTGGCTCAAAGATGGATAGGCTAAAATAAATTAACAAAAAAGCAAGAACTCAAAAAGGAGCCGCGAAACGTTCGCATAGAATAGGAGTAGCGAGAAGTATCCCCAGCCAAACTGTTTGATCGTTACTTCAACTTGAGCACCAAGGCGGTAGAGTTAATAAAATTTTATTTTTTGAGAAATTAAGCTTAAATAATCTCTTGCAAACAGCAGTAAGCACCTTAGAAGGGAGGAAAGAGATGAACACAAGCTCATACTTGAAAGAGAGGAGTCTTCTTCTAATTGAGATCAACAGTTCTTACGGTATAAATTACTAAGAGATAGCTACACAAGAATGGGTCTTAAATACAAGAGCACTCCTTCGAATATTATGACATTTTGTGAAACAATTGACAAATTCCTATAACACATGTCTATCAATATGCATGTCCTCAAACCGTCTGTGCGCTTTCCGTTTCCGACCTTTCTCCACTTGGATATCATCCGCGTTCGTAGCAGTTCGAAAACGGAAGTATCGTCCTTCTACAATGAGTATTTTCACAAATAGAATCCTGTTCAAAGCTATACCTCCAGTTATTACAGATATTGGGATCACGTTCTGAGCAACACACTTTCGGAGAAACTCTCCGCCAGCATCCGATCTGTAATAGAAAACTTGAATCAAGAATGAAGAGGAATGAAAACCTCATTGCATAACGAGGCTGTAATCCTGCGAGAGGGCCACAACACATCTCATCCCAGAGCAGTTTAAACCTGGAATATGAATGAGTAAACTCATTGTCTCCTTAACAAACCTTTGATCGAAACCGATGTTGGCTACTGGATCGATGACCATCCGTATTTGCCAACCAGCCATGGCCACTGTTGTCCATAAAGCCATACTGTAACCCAGGCGATACGTATCAACCACAGTTCTGCAGGGATTCACCTGAGTAGGTCATGTAAAAATGATATGCAAACACTACTCACATCTCCTAGTTCCCCATTGAGCTGATCAATTCTACGTTTCAAAAACAGCGGGATAGAAACGAAGCCCGCCATTACGAAACAAGAAATGGCAAAGGCAAAAACATTCAGACCTATCCTTCCTATGGATAGTAGATGATGAGATGCTAATGTACCTGTTAAATGGGATGTCAGTGACGAAAGTGAAATAATAATGTACCTGATTGGGTTCCTACTCTACAGAGGTAAGCAATTATGAAAAAATAAGAGAAGCAGACTATTGTGAAGGAAAGAAGAACGATGAACAAGTTCGAGATGGAAAGAACGAAATCCGAGGTACTGACAGTCCACTGACATTGACGTAATCATTAAATGAAGCTTCTAGAACCTTACCTGAATGAGAGCATCATTATTGAAAACGTTGAAGGCGTTATTGGGTGAGATACAGACGACTAGCACAGCATAGAACAGGCCCAAAAGCCAAATTATTACTCCAACATAAACTGAATGATTGATTTTGCGGATATTCAGTTAACAACTTACTGCATCGACGGTTTGTCATATGAATCTTGTAGATGATGGGGTAGCGAACAGCAAAATAAGTGAAAAGAGCTAAGACGGCATAACAACCAGCAGCGGCCCAGAAGTCTAAGGTGAGCAATAGAGTGAATACAGTTCGTCCATGAGGAATAACATAATCCACATCCACATAGGTTTTATTCTCATACTCCTCAAGTAGAATACGTTTATTGGCAGCACTACTTTCAGCTCGTCAGTCATTTAGATAGTGAACAATGTGTGGAGCGGTTGCATTCAAAAACTCACTGTCGGATAGGTGTTGGGGTCCGGCTCTTGATCGAATCTATGTAGTGATACAAAGACCAGAGTGAGAAACGACGTCAGCACATCCGTGATAGAGCGATTCAACAACAAAGAGTAACCCTGAAGATGAATAGCTGATTGTGGCAGATGAAGATGAACTTACTTTGAAAGGTAACTTCCTATCCCGAATCCCACGAATGGTGAGATATATGAAGATGCCATTGATGATAATGCCAATTATAGAGAATATAATTGTCATTATTGGAATGGCTTGGTCAACTAACTGAAAAGGAGAGTTATGATAACTGTTGTGGAAGCTTCGATGTTTTGTTCTTTTAATCGTTTGAACGTTCAAATATTCAATTTGGTACTAACTAAAATCCTTTTGATTACGTAATGATCTTTTAACTTTCAAACCCGGAGGCTGAATCGATAACGTGTGCAAAAGATAAAAGAGGAAATTGGATGAGAGTAATGAGCTCATTAATCGCATTTTCTTTAAATCATATAAGAAAACCTGCTGATAAGTAGAATGATTAACACACAAGATTATATGGATGATAAGCTACTGTTGATGAAAAGCACGCAACTGACGAAGTACGAACGAATCTTCACAAATCTACACAAAAGGAAATGAGCATTGACAGAGGTTAGTAGTGTAGGAATAACCAACCACCTTGAAGAAAGTCTCTCACCGCAAATTTTCGACTATCATAATCGAGAATGACATAACGATCATCATCTGAACAGTTGAGATGGTATGTTAAGTTTGTTATGTCGGGAGATCGATCTTTCATCTGAAACAAAAGTCTTACAACTAAATAGCGAAATTGCCAGGAGGAATGCACACAAATGGAAAAAAGCTTATCGCGTACACAGTTATTAACCGGAAAATTAGATTCGCAATTGGCAAATAGTCTTTTTACTTTACAACGTCATCATGAAAATGGAAAATGAAGGAGTGAGGACAATATTTCCAATATAATAGAATACTGTTTGGAGCAGATGAACTTACGAGGTTAATGTATAGAGAAAGGTTGTAAAATTATAAAATGTGAACAGAATATAGTGGATGAGATAACGAAGAGAAAGAGAAGAGAGTCAAAGTCTATGTGTTAGCAGAGAAATTAAAATGGAGCAATGAGAGTGTTCATGCCAGCCACTCCCATTGAGTTCATGACAACATAAACTTAACTTTAATAACTTTTGTTGAAAATCATGTTCCTTTTTGTGCTGATAGTATATTCTTTTCCGAAAACATCTTGAATCATATCCATTTCGTTAATTGATCACGAGAATCTGAGTAGTAACTGAATTGGACAATCGTGACCCAACGATAGCCATCCTATAAATCAGAGAAAACCTATGAACTCCAATTTACTGGCATTTCCAGATCTCATTTAATTCATTTTCTTATCTTTACAGAGGTACTTAATTGACTATAAGACTGCCTAGTAACTACGAACAGGTAGTAATGAACATTCTTCTTTAATGGAGATTACTACTGATACATCAACACCTAAACCAGAGTGAGTCATATCTAACCTTGGTAGTTAAAATTATGAGCAAATCGTTCTAACATTTTTGAACTTTCTAAGATCATTTCCTACTCTCTCAATGCTTCCCATTGAAATGAATCTTGAACTTTCTTGAGAAACTTGCTCAGTTCACTGATCTCAACTCAACAGCCCGCATACAAGACATTTAGGATTTCGATATGCTCAATCGACGTCCCAGTTCGTCTAACTTGGTAGCAGTGATAGAAGAGAGAGTCTCATAAATGAATATTCTTCGAAGATCATGTAAGTTGATTTGAATCGCAAATCTAACGGCAGTATATTCCGTTTGCGACGAACGACAAGATCACAGCCCTCTCAACTATAAGGAATTATTCTGAACAGTAAATTTACATTTATTAGAATTCGCATATAAACATCTTAATGAAATAAATTACGCAAATTCATAAGCACTCACAGTTAATACTTTGCAAACACTTCGAAATTGCAGAAACAGCTTCACCCGTATAATTAACTCTCGATCTTGCAACTATTGGCGGTCGGCGAACAGTTTGGATACACCTGAAACCATAGAAATTTATCTTTGTTTCTTATAGATCTAGAATGAATGCAACCGCTCTGGGCTCTAGGCGAGGATTTCATACCTTCAAAGACGGATGATCCAAATCTCCCCGATTTGCACCTTCTAAAGCTTTGTTAGATAAGCCAGGTCCAAAGTTTTTTACACACACACAACGTTCTCCGTTAGTACCATCCAAGAACAGTCTGCATACACATATTATATCATCATTATCTTCAATGTAAGTGAGTTACCTTGGCACACCTGACCACTCTCTGTGAATGCCACCAGATTTGGATGAGCACCAAACTCTTCCTCCAGTGTTCTGATGCCATTCTGAATTGCAAGGTGGGAAAATCTGAAACCATTTTCTTAATTCCTCATACTTAATATCGTTTGAAACCTCTGACTCCGCAGCTTTTGAATTCTTGAAGTCTACAGCGTTCTCGATCCGTAATAAAACCTAATAAGTATTCCAGTTAAGAATTTTTTGGATATATAGAAGCACCTCTTGCAACTCGCTAGTTGGTTTGGCTTCTTGGTCATAGTACTTTCCAACTACAACCCCTACTAGCACATAATCTTTTTCATAGAAGGTGATCCAATCTTTAATGCCTGTACGAAAGTGTAAACAAAGTCAAACAAGTAAAAACTAACCTAATAGATCATCATTTGATAAACCTGAAGTGTCATCAATAAGTCCTTTGGGTGTAAAATCCCCCGTTACGAAAGCCCTGGTAGCATCTTTACCTGAAGGAGAAAAATCAAATGAATTCTCACTATTTATTGTTTTTTACCCGAGAAGAAATGGTAGCCTCCACCTTTCCCATAATGTTTCTTTCCTTTGTCCACGTTATAAACGCGACCCAATATAGCTAGATAAACTGGTCTGAAAACGAGTCGATGTCATACTGAGGTAAAGTTAGAAAAACCTAGAATCTCGAGTTCCATCGAATAAAGCTAACTGCTCAGGTGTTAGAATCTGTAGATCACCAGCTACTTTGATATCAGCTTCGATATTCTGAAAGAAAAGGCTATACTGTGTTATCGTATTCAATAAGTAACCATTGTTGTTTCTCCTCTAACTTTGCGCTTAATCCTAATGGAGTCTTTGGCATCTTGCCATGAGTCTTTGAGCCATTCTATTTTGTCTCGAGTATATTCACACTACAATAACATGAATTGAGAAGTTAAGTGACACTTTAGGAAACCTTTTCTAAAACATCTATAGCGAAACTTGTTACGTTGGCTACTCCATAGTTATAGTAAGTGGAAAAAAAGGAAATAACCGCTACTTGCACAGCCAAATACACTAGGGTTGTTGTATATAAAGCAGGCTTATATGTCCTAGGTCGAGGCATCGAACACCTGAAATTATGTGATGAGATAGTCGTTACATGATATATCAACGATCTGATTTGTCACAAATGGCAGAAGAAATGTTTTTTTCAATTTCTAACAAAAACTGAAGGTCCTACACGAAAAAACTGGAAGTGAATTGACAAGACCTTGGCCGTTCTTCAAGAGATTCAAATGGTAAAGGACAGTTATTAAAAACAACTTTTGTGAGAGGTATTGTGCTTGAGAGAAACATTTTTAAATAAAGCATAAAAATCGAAAGAAGCCGTTGACACAAGGATAAGTTGACGGCTGATATGAAAGTGACCTGCATTCTGTTTACACAAAGTTTGGCAGCCCCAAAGAATTCTAGAAGATCAATCTATCTGCTCCGGAGTGAAATGATAAACAAGCTGTACTTATTACAAGATTGATAGCTTGCATGTCTTAAATAACTATTAGGATGATGTCAAAGGAATTAGGATGGAACCTGGTAAAGGCTTGTAGACCAAATCCAAACAACTTTGAAGTTTCTTTTTGTTTGTTTAATAAAGATCAACTTAATGAATAATTTGCTCTGACTTCTGCATTGTTTCCCTCTCTACGATCTACATTCCACACGTAGTTTTTGACATTTTCAAGTTCCGCATTTCGCTATTATCGATTGATCGGCAATGGCTTGAATCACCATGTTCTTACATTCAGTTCTAAAAAGCATCTTCTTATCAATAACAATGTCCAAACTGAAAGCCGTATTAACCTTACGAAACGTTAGTACTGTATTAGAACAAGAACCCGCCCATGTTCCCATCATTGGGGGTTTCTGGAATAAAGCCAACAAATGAATGTTTGGCGCGCTCTCATCATTCTCATAACAAACAACCGTTATGATTGGTTTAGATGCCCTATTGTGCAAGTCTTTCATAATCTATAGAACTAACTGCCTTCATGTTGTTTTCGTTTCGACTGTTTCATATTGATTTCTTCATCAGCGCGTCCGGTAGTATGTGTGTGCCCTCGTGCCCGCAACTTTCTCTCATTGGCTCGTGTGTGGGGCGCGTGACCAGGCATCGCTATAAAAACGATTTTTGGACGCTATGTTTTGGCTTCACCCTGAGTCTGCCATTCTATTTTCTATTTTCTAGTATGCTGTTTTTCTTTACTGAAGTCTTCTTATCGATTTTTTTTGCCTTGTTTTGATGAAGGCGACGATGCTCGGTTCTTTCTTCTCCTCATTGTGTCTGCGTGTAGATTCATTTGTCTATCTAAGTTGTTATCCTATAATTATTCTCTTATAGACGATCAAGAAAATGTCGAGCGCTGCTGAAATGGCTGCTGATTTTGAGAAGGATGGTGGACCAGTAAGTCTACCAAGCTTGAAATCTTAAATAATTTCTTACCTTATAGGAATTCACCGGTTCTAACGGAAAGAGAAACAAGACTGACCGCGTCGAGCATAAGCACTCTCATCATGGTAATGACACCAGAAAGATTGTTCAAATTGCCAAGAACGGTGAAGCCAAGAGAAAAGAGGCTCAGTAATTGTCATTTATCGCCTGAAACTGTATAGAACCTCAACTCTTTCCTCATTAGTTCCTCCTTAATGTCTATCTTAGACGGGATGCTTCTTACTTTTAAAGTTACGTGTTTATGAATATGTAAGTTCTGAACAATAAAATACTTTGATAATTTATTGCTTTGCTTTGATAAGTACAGTTCAATCCTCTTCTTCGTCTTCAACATCGTTTCCATCTTCTTCGGGTTCGTTGTCTTCCTGACTGCCTATGTCCTCGTAGACAATTTCCTGCTCGTGTTGAATTTCTTCTTCGGTTTGGTTATCATCACCATCATCCTTATCTTCACTATCTTCAGGATTCTCAGCGCCATTTTCATCATAGCTCTCATCTTCCATTGCTTCCTGGTTATCATCTGCTATTCCTTCGTCTTGGTTCTCATCCTCAGCGGTGTCAGCAGTCTCTGCTGGAGTCTCCTCCTCTGTTTCCTCATCTTCTTCGTCAGAGTCCTTATCTCGAGCCTTTAAGTTCCCTTTCATTTGAGCAATTATATCTTAAATCTTATCATTAACAACATATGTTTTGATACGGCATACTTTTAGCCACGTTGAAAACACCGCCAGTATTTTCACCACAAACACGACAATTCTTCGTTCGCCGAAATGATGTCAAAGCACAGCTTTCACAGAAATAATGCTTACACCTAGAAAAAAGATTATATTCGAATGTAGATAAGATATTCTCACCTGGTAACTACAGGATCCACAAATGGATTTGTGCATATGTAACATGACTCAGGCAACCTTTCTACCTCCTCTTCAATCTCATAATTTGTGTTGTCGATATCGTTCAAAGTTCCGGCTTCGAAATCTTGTTCGATTTCCCAACCGTGTTTGTAGTCGGAACGATCGTGCAAGAATTTACATGAGTCTTAAATGGTTTTCTATAAAACACAGAATAGATCAAAAAACGATCATACCTCCAAAAGTACAATATCCTGTCTCCTTGTAATCTTTACAAATATCGGGAGCATAATCCCATCGAACAGTTTGTCTCAAAAAAGACGGCGCTCTCACCGGACCTAGAAAAAGTATTTATCAACATTGATAGTGGAGACACAACCAGTTAAGAAGCGTCATTTTTTCAAAATGAAAACACTGGCGCGGAAATGATTATGCTAATTTACCTATTCTGTTCATGCCACTTGCTGCGTTTCCTTTTACCGTGTCTTTGGCTTCTTTTGCGCCATACATAGCTTGTCCTTTGTACAATATTTTTCCATCCTTAAATTTCAGTTAAAAGTCCGTACTTAGAAATAGAACTTACTTTTTCTAAGCCTTCTTTCAGCTGTTTCTGTACTCTCTCGAACTGCGACTGAGCGTCAGAAGCTCGTTCTGTGTCAATATCCAAAGTAGCGGTAGCACCTAAATTGAACAGTAATCTATTAAAGATTATAAACATACCCATATCCCTTGGGCCTTCTTTGGCAGCTGTTAAATCCGCTTTATAAGCATGTTCTAAACTGAAATCTGCACCGTCACTGTCGCTATCAGAGGACGAATTCGTTTTCTCTTCACGTTTCTTTTTGGTCTTAAATGATTTTCAAATTCAAAACTGTCAATTACACAAGTTGTAACAACTTACCGTTTGGACCATTGGATTCTCCCTCCGTTTCTTACGTAATCCATCCTTCACTAATACAGCCTGGCTCTCTTCTTCACCTTCATCATTTCTTTGTCTGGACTGAAGTATCAAGATAATTGTATAAGAAAACTGCTCTTACCTGAGCAACTGGTCTTTTGGGCTTTCTGAACATTTTTGAATTGAAGTTCGATCAAGAAGTCCCAACTTGGTTATATAATAACGAAGGAACTACGAATTACCACCAGAAGCAATATTTGAAAAAACCCAATTCGTAAAAATTGCGTACGATGCTTTTTATGGGACGTCAAAAAAACGAAACACCCCCTTCGAAAGTCCTTATAGCGAATTACAATGATATACACATTTCAACAGAGGGTTTTCATGTCAACTACGTCAAAAGATGTTTTTTGAAGTTTTAAAATATTTTAAGTTCGAGATTCTCTTTCCCTCATTTTCTTTCTCATGTTTTTTATCCGCCATCTGCCGTCCTGAGAAAAGATTAAGTGTTTCAATTGCTCTGAACAACCACTTGTGCCTTTAGTTATTGGTAAACAGCTCCCGTCAAATATTATGACTTCTCTTCTCATTTAACACACAGACGTGGTAGTGAACGGTTGCTTCAAGACAACTTGTTGCTTGATCAAATATTTATTCTCCGAGTTCAATTAAGCTTGTCAAAAATAAATTAATATAAGTCTAAGTTCTGAAAGGTCGTGATCTTGTTCGATAAATCTATAGAGCTATCTTTCAGTAGCGGGTCAAAGAGTATTGCTTTCGCACCAATATCCTTAGCTCCCAAGTAATCTTTGCGTAGATTATCACCTATGTGAAGTAGCTCAGAAGGAGAATCAAGTTTGAAATGTTTCAAAATCAAATTGAAAATACGAGGATCAGGTTTCTCAATACCTAACTCGCCACTTATCAAAACCATATCGAATAGTTCGATTACATTCATATCTTTTAGTAAATTTCGTAGCCTGATGTCAAAATTTGAGGTAATCACTAGTGAGAGTCCTTTGCGACGGAGGTTTGTCAAGAACGGAATAACCTGAGAATAGAAAGTTGCACATGAAGATAACTATGAGAACCTCTTCGTCAACTATTCTCCATACCGAAGGATCTTTGTAAAGCTCATAAAGATTGTGACTGATATTCTCCATCGTGTCGTCTGGTATTCTTTCATTAGTGGCCTGAAAGGACAAGTCTTTGAAAACTGAAGAGTCACCACCTTAGCGATACTGTCTTTTATCACATAATGCCACCATTTCTGTGCTGTTATGTTCCCAAATCCAAAACATGGATACTTTCCAGAGTAAAAGGACATGGATTTATGAAAAGCAGACAGCAAATGTTCCTGCTCGCACACGATTCCATGTTTATATGCTTCACGGCTATACACAATCATTGGATTCTCTTTGGGAGCTATCAGAGTATTCATCACATCAAGTGATACAACTCTAGCTACCCGAGGAACACAGTAGGCTCTTCGTGCTTGCAACATTAGAAGGAATGTAACGAAAAATATTTTGTGCTGAAGCCAGCCCTCGAGTTTGAAATGCTACGTACGTAGCATTTTTGCTTACACGTCCAATGTCATATATAGGTCAATTGGATGACACGACTGTCAATTCATTACGACTATAGTGATCTTTCTTTTTCTTGTCAAGAACTTGAAGTCTTTCTCCCAGTACCATGATGTCTGCTCTTGTCCTACTGTTAGAACCGAAATCCTTTTCATATCATAGCCCCCACAAAACTATTATTATCAACATTTTCTTTATCGAATTTCAAAAAATCGATTGTATCTGATTAGTTTTCTTTTAGAATTACCAGTGTCTCACCCAAACCGTCGAGAATATGACGCAGGTGAGCCTTTTTTCCCTTTAATTCTATAGATAATATGTTTAAGTATGTTTTTGAAATGGCCATGACTTGTGGGGGATGCGCTGCGGCTGCTCGTAAAGTTCTCGGGAAGCTCGGAGGTATTTGAAGAATGTGTGGTGAATATTGAGGGGAATATTACAGAGAAGGTGGTCATCGATGACATCGACGTTGACACGAAAACCATCAAAGTCACCACTGACCTACCAGCAGATGAGATACTTGAAGCTTTGAAGAAGACAGGCAAAGAGATCAAGCAACTCCAATAATGCATTCCCGGACTTAAATTAATTTATTTTATATAAATATTGTATCTATGATTTCAAGAAATGGTGTTTACCCTCCTCCACCTTATTCCTATTCCCGAATTAGCTATATATACATACAACAAGCTCAGGGATGAGCTCTTATGGCTTTGACACTAGCTTCCCGCAAACATTTTTGTCCTCAGGGTCATTGTCTATAACGTCAGCTGCTTTGATCAGATATTGGTCATACAGTCCATCACGAGAGATGTCTTCAGGTGCCACATGAGCATGCTCGCGTATGAAAGTGATTACTTCCGTTGGGATGACATGATTCATTTCCAATTTGGCACCCCAAGCAACTAAGGCCAGTGGCTGAAATAGTAAAATTGTTGGGAAAGGTGTAAATCAACAAACTCTCTCAGAAGACAATTTGTTATATGGAGTCACTACATGACGCCACAAACAGCCTGTTACTAAACTACGGAGTAATTGAAGTTGGTTCCTATCAACACATGGATGATACAATAGAATAATTGAGCCATGCTGCGTAAGTGATTCTTCAGTAATGTCTAGAATGTGTCAACTCACCTCCAAGTTATGAAGCCACCTTTGAACAGGAAGATAAAGATATTCACCGAACCGAGCCCAGTTTGGTCGATGATCACCTCTTAAACAAATATTTCTCTAAATGAGACAACGAAGTCTGAAACCTGATTGGAATGCTTTCATTATAAACAAGTTGATCTACGATGCATTTATGAGTGACTTGGTCAGTTCTAGGATTGAAGTTTGGATCGTGCTTAGTCAATTCGAACGAGACAGCAGTAATATCCTGAAAATGCTTTTAGTCGGTCTCATGAAAAACGAATTACATTTGCAATAGGAAACGGCTTTTCTTGATCGCATGTGAAAACAGAGAAATCGGAGAGATCCCAATCGATTTGTAACCCGGTCTAGAAGCAACCTGTGAACTGTTGAAAAAAATAAGAAGCAAACTTTAGCGTCATCACATTCTGTGATTTTACCCATCATGGCTCCCATAGCTCCATAGCAGCTCGGGATGAGAAGTGAAATAATAAATATGGAAAGCATTCTGTAACGAGCGTTAGAGAAGAATAAGAACTACAGTGGTATAGAACATGGGATGCAACCACGAGTCAGAACAAGTAATTATCTGTCTAAAATCTCGTTTAACAACAACAATTAACAATCCTCATGTAAAACATAACAAAAATTATTCAGAAACAATAGCCTGTACATCTTTCTCGGAATTTAAAATGGAGTTCGCCATGGACGTTCCGAAGATGTTGCATAGCCTAAGACGGTCATTCTTAGAATACAGCAGAGAGGCCTGCAAACAATCAATATTGAATCTCAAACTTGTTGGAATCATAATTACCGAAAATCTCTTCTTCGAAAGTTTACCCATGTTGATGAATTCGTGATAGAAACTGGGATGCGAAGGGGCCTGGTAGAAGATCAACCGCTCAATGCCCTGCAAACGAAAAAAATGAAATCGCGCTGTAGCAGGGATGGAACTACCTTTAATTCATAACGATGGAAGTAATGGAATCTTTCAGTTACAAGCAAAATCTTTTTCAGTTCATGGAAGAACATATCACGAGCTCTTTTCACCTGGAATACTACGTAGTTGGAACTACTAGGTTGAGAGTACCTTCTTCTTTTCAGCGTACTCATGTAACGACACAAAACTCTCTTCGTGTCGCTTGAAGTAATTTCTCAGACGCACAAAATCGAAATATGAGGGTATAACTATGCATGTATGGGGAACCAGACAATTTCCGAACTGAAAGAAAGTGAAATAGCAACACACGTGTCACCTCACCTTATTTGCGAAGAAATTGAACCGAGATAAACTAGGATCATCCGCACCTTCCACATTGAATCTTAAGAACTCTTGACATAACGGAATTTCAATCTAAATTCGATTGTTGACAAAAGAAAAATCGTCAAACTGACATTAGATAGCATTCCTTCTTGCCTAGGTTGGTGTAAAACCAATCCCCGATAGTTCAGAGAGCGTTCGAACATTAAGCCAGCGAAGAGCTCATGTTGGTACTGAGAGAACATGAGTAGTTGAGAATAATACTTGGCATTGCCTTCTGAAAAAAATATCTTGATATATAAACGCTGTCATCCGTAATTATCAACCTAAATACAAACTCTTGACTCTTGAGATATCCGCCAGAATGTTACTGGGCAACGAGTGCATCTTGTCAAACACGATACTCAAATTCTCCCAATTCTGTTGAAGCATAACATCAACCTGATAAGTACACCCATTCAATGTGAGTTTCTAATTGATCTAGGTACCCCATCCACAACAACTATCTGCAAACTTGAGACGTAATGAGATTCATCCCGCTCCTTCTCCAGAATCATACGTAAGCCCAATGGAGAGCATAGAATCAAATCAGCTGTGTCGAAAGGTTCATACAATTTAAGAGCTTTTTTAGATATGCTGATTCCTATACGGAAACAATCGTCGTTGTTACCTGATAACAACTCCTACAACAACCATTCATGCTATAAAAACAGATCGTGCTTACCTTGAAATCATCATTCAAGAGCTCGTTATCAACTTTACCACCATCTACGAACTCTTCTTCAAATCTTTTAATATGTCTCACATTCTTCACCCCTGAAATTTGCTGAATAATCATGACGGATTGTTTGGAACTGATAACCTTTGCCGAACACCATGCCTATCAATCGTTGCACAACATCATAGCCATCCTTTTTGAAAGGACACATTATTAGACATGATGTTCTCACGAAACCCTGGTCTCTGCTACTTTCGATGAGTTCTTCTGAGACCGTGTCCTAATGAGTAAGTTGTAGGTTAGAACTAGAAGCTCTCCAACAAACCCCTTGCAGAGCCATATGGTTTCCCAAAACAGTATTTCGTGAAGAAATCAAATGATTCAATATATGTGCCACATAAATATCCTGAACGAATAAACTACTTCCGAATTCAACGGTCGACAAACTCTGTGGCTCTTATGTTTCGTAACGGCGAAGAGATCCAAATAGTCAGTGATGATGTTAAACATCTCCTGATCTGTATCGTTTATAGGAAACCCTAAAAAATAACAGCACGTTTACACAGGTGAGCTTGGCACGTACTGTTTTTTCTTCTGAAATTTTGCACTACATTAGGTAGCCATCCACTTTCGGCAGGAGTCTTCCGTGCACTAAGATTCTGAGAAATGGAGAAATAGAGGTGACGAATGATTTAGAGGATATTACATTATTATCTCCAGTGATGCCTTCAAACAGAGTAGCTTTACCCATGGCAAGGTCCAACTTCTTCATGGGTCGCTGGTTTTTTGGCAGATCGAGACGATTCCTCTCAGCCATATCAAGGTTGAAGTTCATGCGATCGCTAACCAAACATGATGTTTTTACTTTTTTGGCTACGGGCTCGTCTGTAGTTTCTGTTTTTTTCTTACGATCCATCTAAGAACGTGTATGAGAGAAGACATGATTCAAACGACTAAGTACAAGTTCCAGGAGAAGAAACTACGTGGCAAAGAGAATGGACAGAGAAGAATATTTATGCACTAGAAGAGATAAAAATTACAAAGTTTACAATCATAGATTAGAGAACTCGATAGTCCCGTTCACTTGCTTTCCGGTGAAAAAATTTTTCTTCAAAAATTATTCTTGGGGATTTTCCGCCCGCATAGCGTCAGGTATTGGAGGAGGAGACGATAAACTTTCCACGACCATCTCACTTTCACCTTTTAGAAGAAGACCGATTTGAGCTGGAGCTTGAGCCTGTAAAATCAATTATTAATTGAAAAGAAGCCATTAGCATGAACTCACTTTTGCATTGACGGCTGTGAAACCGCTCTCAGTGAAAGACTTCTTGTCATCTAGTTGCACATAGTTTGAATAATTTCCGTCTTCTGTGAATCTTAAGAGGATTTGGTTTGTTACTGGAATCTGCAAGAGAAGAAAACTTAAGATTTCTAAAAACTAGGACTCACCTTAAGAATTCCCTCAATCATCTTTTTCAAATCAGACACAGGAGCGTTATCCTTAACATTACAAAAGATGTGTTGTTTCCTTCTCACAACTTCAAAGAACAAATCCTGAACCTGAGAATGAAACAGTTTGATGTAAGTAAGAAGAACATTACCATAATCGAAGATGAGAGTCAGACGCTTCCACAAAGCTTCTCCTCACTCTGTAATCTCTACGGATACAATTCAAATAAGAAAATACGCAATAACTCAAATCACCGAATTTCCAAAACACAAGAAAAGAAAGAATTTATATGGAAAGAGTCATTCACAACAAAGTCTGTTCAAATTCCTAATTTCTTTTCGAATTAGAATTTGATGATTATATTAATCAAAATCATGTCTTAATCGAATTGCTACACTGAGCCTTCACAAACTTCATCTAAATATATTGATGTCATTCCGCTTAATGACACACATATTTTCATGCGCACGGCATGTTTACTAATTTGTAAACCACTTATCCTTATATAGTATATTGCTTCTTCGCTTCCACATATCTCCCTATTCAAAGACAAGTCATTTACTAAATTCAAATTCATATTCAGGCATGTCATTGAAGAAAGGTCCAGAAGATATTAACAATGGCATTCCACAGTACGCTGTTCCAAATACTGTAAGCATTGCGCCTCTTATTTTTCTCTTATTTTTAGGATTCTCATACTTGTTGTTCATTTTAGGTTAAACCCACTGAGTTAACCAAATACGAACAACTCTTGACTATTGTTGAGAAACTTAGAGAAGATATCAAGCCAACTTACGCTGGAAACAAAATTTGTGCCGAGCGTCTGAAGAAGAACATTACACTTGCTCGTTTACTGATCAGGTTAGGCTTTCTAGTATCTGTCATGTTAACTGTTCATTCCTTAAGGGAAAACGTTGCTGAAGTTGAACGTGATAAACAAAGAGCAACCGCTGAAGCGAATCAAAAATACGCATCTCAATAAACGCATCTCATAGTCATCCAATTTCGTCTACAATGGTTCTCACGCTTCCACAACGTCCTGCTTTCTGTTCTTATCATAATTCCTCTTTAATAATCTCTACATACCAACTTGAAACATCTTCAACTCGCGCTGGAACTTTATATTTTCTCGATCCAGCTTTACTTGTAAAAAACTCTATAGAGCTGCCGGCCGGCATTTTCCGTTTTGAATGTCCTAAACCTGATTTATGTGTTTCTGCTTTAACTGATGGTTCACTAGCTTTTACAAATCTGAACGGTGAGTTCCTCATTCAAAAATATGTTCTCATTAATTCTATTTTAAGATAACACTTCCACTTTCACCAATGTATCTGAGCACATGCTCCTTGATCTTTCTCTCGAATCCGATCATTGCTTAACTTCCGACAATAAAGGAAATATTTATTTAGTAGATGTGAACAGTGGTTCTGTAGAAAAACATGCTAATGCTCATTCATTACCATATACCTCAGATTGCGAAGTAAGGGACTCTTCGGAAGGCGTCTTCTCATATTAACTCATTCAGATTTGGACATGCTCCCTAGGCCAAGATTTCGCTTGTTCGGGTGGAGAGGACGCCGTCGTTCGTTTGTGGTGTCCTCGTACCTTTTCTTCTTTGGGAGTAATAAAAGGCTTTGAAGCTGGTGTTACGTTCACAAAGTTTGTGAATGATAAGGTAATTTCATATAGATTTCAAAACTTATCATTATTCTTCTCCAGACACTCTTAACTGGTAGTTATGATCATTCTATCCGTCTTTTCGATTTGCGCAACTTCAAAACACCAATCAAGGAGCATAAAGTAATTTTCAGTTTTCGGATCCTATAATTGAGATATGTTTAGACTGCTGGGGGTGTTTGGCACATAGAACAAGAGCATGATGGAGAGAAACGCTGGCTTGCATCTTGTATGTATGGTGGCTGGGAACTTCTCGATAGTGAGCTGATATCCATTAAAACTGACATCGCGGCCGGTAGTAATTTACTCTATGGTGTTACATTCCTTCCTAATAACCAATTAGCCTATGTGACATTCAATGATTACAGTGTATCTTTGTCCTCTATCTAAAATAAATGTTTTCTCATTGAGCACCTTATTACTCAGAACTGTTCGTACGCTTCGCACTACTTTAATTAGCATATGGCGTATCCACGTCACGGCTGTGAGAAATATCCACGTGGAGTCATTTGCATTGCAATGCTTGCTAATGAGCGGTTGAGGGTTGTTTTATTTATAGAATGTCTAATCTAAGTTGTTACAATCCTGTTGCGATTTGGATCAAAAATCGTGAGTCTTATGTGAAGCAAATAGGGAACGTTGTCCTGCGTATACAGTCCGGATATCATTTCGGTGAAAACTTCAGAGGTTTCGAGTCTATAGTAAATTGTTATTCATAATGATTTCAAGGTATCGCCGAAGGCAAAGGTGAATTAACAGACAGTAATTGGGATTTCATACTCCAGTTTAAACCAACTATTATTGAAATCAATCATGCTGCAAGCCCTGTATCAGATTTTTTGAAATCTGTTGATCTGTTCCCGGAACCTGAGGTCAGTTGAAACAATTCTCTGTTTAACCTCTTACCGTTCATAGACTAGCTTATTCTTTGAAAAAGTGAAAGTAGTTTCTGTTAATTCTTCGTACATCACATCTGAGCAGCTTTTGAGTATACTTGGGAAGTCTGTAACCAAGAACTTCGAATGTAGTACAATTCTATTTTAAGGGTAACTCTTCTACAAGGTTTTTCCTGCAAAGAAGCCACCTTCACAGAAGAAGAGTGGGTCAAAGTAAGAATCACACAGTTTCTAATTTGCAACTTGTTCCTATAGATAACCGCTGAGCTACGAAGACTAAATCTGAGAGCCGTCATCAGTTCTGATAACATCTTCAGACATCTATTGAACAAATATGATGTCGAACTTCTTGTTATTCCCACGGGAATTTCCTTAGAAACCATTGAGGTGATAATCATCAAATTCCGGAAGTTCACCTGATTACTCTACAGAGTTCCCAAACAGAATATGTAACTATTACAAGCTTGTTCGTAGAAGGCTTGGAAAACGGCATTGATGGAGAGGCGGAGAAATTCTTCGAGCTTCTGCCTAGAAAGTTCATCAAACTTTTGTTCTGAAATAACTTTTTCTGTTTAGATTCCCACGAGTTTCGACATTAGTATTCGATTGGAGTTTGGTTGACACTTTCACCCTGTTCGACAAAAGAACTGAAGATGTGATTGCTACTGTGGCATCCATTTTCAGGTACTACCTAACAGTTTCGTTTCGAGTTTACAGTTCCATTTTTTCTAGACGAATGAACTTCGAAGCTTTAGCAATAACATTCTATTCCCCATGTGAAGATACAAAGCAAGCCGTTGAGCAGATCTCGAGATACCTAAAAGGGCAATTGCCAAATGTCCAATTGTTCAAATATTCAACTAAAGGATTCAAATCTGTGAGTTGTTGATTCCATAACCCTCACAGTTGTTTACTTGTAGGCTGAGACAAACCTGAGTATAATTACCGCTGGTCATTCAACTACCAAGTTGGATTTGATTAAGAGGGCTTTTGTTGATGGGATGACATCTCTACCAGACTTATCGTTAGATTATGTTGTGAAATCTATTTTAATCTGTAATTCTATTCAGGCGTATCCTCCCCCTCATCACTAATGAGGATGTTCCCTCGCTGGATTCCACAGTTATGGATTTTGGTGGCTTAAATCGCGATGCAGTCAAAAAACTATTCGAAGATAAACAAAAAGAGAGAAATGCTGAGAATTAAGATTTTATTACCATCTTACGTTTGTTTTGTTGTTGATTGTTATTGTTATGAAATTAAATTCATTTTGAACGTATGCTCTACCCACTGGCCACCTCACTAATTACACAATTTTTAAATCGCTGCCATCCCCAGTGTTTGTCAACGCGCCCCTGTAGAACAGAGAGTTCTTATGAAATGGAATTGTTGTCATACCCGTAATCCTCTGTGTAGTCGGTCATTCATGACATCCAAAAACTCGGTATAACTTAATGTTCCATCATTATTGGCGTCAAAAATTCGGAAAATGAAATCGACAACTAAGGGATCCAGTTTTTGTCCTTAAGGTATAGTTAAGTCATCATCAGTTCTCACGATATACCTATGGTACACTCAACAGCTCTACTGAATTCAGCTTGGGATACAGGCATATCTGCATTAGTATAAAGCCGAACAGCCGTTGAAAATTCTTCCAAGTTGTTCAAAAACATTGAAAAACGAGCCCACATTGATAAAGTTAATCCCTTGAAGACAAACAAGAATATCATTAAAAGACTAAACCAATTATCTCTCACGTCGTCTTTAGTCGATGTTCGGTCCCCCACCCGATTTATGTAAGTGTGATAATCGTCAAGGTTTACAACTGTGTATCTGAAGATGAAATATTGCTATTCAGATGTATCCTCTCTCCGTCTAACCGAAGAACCAATCGGGCGAAATCAATCGGAGAGATCGTGTTTTTACCGCGAGCAAACTCATGAAATTCGATTTCCATCAACTCGCTTTGCAAATTATGATAAAATCTGAAACCGCAAGTAAAGTTTCTCCAAGTACATCTATGGTATGGACTTTTGGAATTCTTCGAAGGAAAGCGTCTCGTTACCACGGAGACCAAATAGATGAAGAAGCAAAGTGGTCGATTGCTTCTTAACTTCTTCCTCACTTTTCTAAAAAAATGTCGATAAGAGGCTACGGGTTGGGAACTGACTGGAACAAAGCGAGTACCGTGAAGATGAGCTGCTCGTGTCGCAAACATTCTGTTGACCTGTAATTTTGAAAGCAAAATAATCGCTCGAAAATTCTGTCTACAGGCCTATGCTCTACGACATGCTTAAACTACACAGCATTCACTTTGTTCCAGAAAGCAATCATCAATTGACGCTTAGCTCACTCTGAATCTGATGGCATACGAATCTCCTCCTGAGAGAATGCGTGTATTCAGTCTCGAAACTACAAAGTTATACTCAGAAACATCTAATTGACATTGCTGAAAACTGTTTAGACTCCCGGATTTCTTCTGTGACTTACGTCATCAGTTTGGATCATTGCCCGATTTGATCGAAGTGACGATGTCAAACTACGAACCTAAATTTGCACAATCTACCCAACTACACAAAAAGCAAAGCTTTGCAAGAACATAAACTATGACCCCACCATTAGAAACTCATTCTTATCAATCCTGCCGCTGTCATCGTCATCAAACATCATGAAAGCTATTTTGAAAGCTGACTTTGATTCTTAAAAAAATGATAGGGAGGACGAGGGCAGCAAACCACCAACTTGTCAAGAGGGTCAACAGGAAAATATATTCAGAATACGATATCAATCCTGATTGACCTAACGATCTGAATAAATTTGTCCCACCGCGCCTGAATGGAGGAGTCCTTCCGAGCATACTCTCAATCTCTTCTTTCTTCAATACTCGACGGTATACTCTTTCTGAATTTTCTTTCTGTACTTGAATATCCCTCATTTTACACACCTCTTGGGTTATCTAATGTTAGAGAATCCAAAAAGTCCATTGGACTCATGTAAATCACATCATCATACTCTAAGGAGGCAAACTGTAGGAATCGTTGTTCTCTCTTTGTTAGTTTGTGATCCACATGAACATTATGCGCGTCGTCAGCTATAACATATAGTTCAATCTTCCCTCACACACGTTCCTAACCTAGTAAATGAGCTTTTCTTGTGTATCTAAGCAACACGAAACTTGTGAGCGATCCTCTAACTACCCAGTTAGAATACACCGAAAAAAGTTTAAGAGAATCTTGAATTGATTTGAAGTAACGGCGACCAGCACCAAACTTGATAAATTGGAAGAAAAACCGTCTCATTTGAATAGAACCCTGAAACAATTTCATCCATTATTTCGTATGATTAGATTAAGACATTCCAAGCAACCGTCTTCAGTCGTATAGCTATTACAATATGAGACGCGTACTATATGAGCCGCTCGCTGGCACAAAATGCGTCAGCAGGGACGATTGACGTTAATGTTGAACATGAGCGCAACCAATGAGAGCGCTGGCTGCGTGGCAGCCCACTAAGCATAGGCCTATGTGCCAGATCAATCATTTAAGTACTGGGTTGTCAAGCAGATCATCTTGATCACTATTCAATGCTCCGCCCCTTGTTTTAACGTTATTTTATTTATTTTTATTTGTATATATAATGTATTAGTATTGATTTTTCTATTATAAAAAAAAGGCAAAACAATTCAGAATATTAAATTTTAAAAGAAATCTTGCTCCTGTAGTATAAATCATATTAAATCATCTTTTTATGTTGAATTCAGGTGTCACAGGCTGCTCAAGTTTAATTAAACTGGAAAGGTAGTGAGGCATGGCCGAGAGGCAACCTATGCTTTCATTTGCGAAGGTCGTCTCCGGCCAAGTTGGCGAACAGTCACAATCAACTGCTTCTGATGTTCAGTCAGCTCAAGCCTATCCTACTTCTGGACGATCTCATGCACAACGTGAAAAAAAGGATAGGCACGACAATTCGCACGCGAAGGAGCGAAGAGAAAAAGGTGAACCTAAGGAGAGAGGTGAACGCGGCGAGAAAGAAAAATTCCATAAGAAGAAAAGCCGCAAGGAACGCGAAAGACGCAGCCAAAAGGCTGAAGTCGTGAAAGAGGAGAAAGTTGAGAAGACTCCTGAAGAAGTACCGGTTGTTACTTCCGAGCAGGCTATCGTATTAGAGCCAGCTCCTATCCCAGTTGTAAATGCATGGTTCAAAAATAAAGGTAGGCATTGAAAAAAACTATTTTGAATATTGACTTGCTTCTAGAAAATGATGGAAAGACTGAGCCAAAGCCTGAAGAGCCAGTGCAGCAGCCAAAAGTGTTGACTGAGAAAGTCGTTATAAACAATGAAGAAGAGGTGCGAATAATAGTTTATTCATTTCATTATGTATGTTATTTTCTAGCCGAAAGTCGTCTCACCTCCGAAGAAAGTTCAAGCTAATCCTGATGCCGCGATCGGCAAAGTTGATCCAGAGTGGCCTACTTTGGACGCAGCTAAAACTGACGAAAGCACCGGTACCACTTCACAGCAACACTCTCCTTCAGGAGAAGGACCTAAGGTTAGTATTTCGCAACATTTCCCATATCCATTATTTATTTTTTTTTATTGTTTTCATTCTTTTTTTACGATGCTTTATAGGATGATGGAGAAAATATTAATCAAAAATCCAGCAGAGTATCTAGAAATCGTTGGAAAAAGGTCAACATTGAGTTCGAAAATACCAAAGATAAGAATATGAAAGGATCGAAGAAGAAGGATTCCCGAAGTGGTATTATACCTTATCTTATCAATATTATGTATTTTACTTAGCTACTCACGATGATTCGCAAGACAACGAACATGAACATGACGATGAGGATGCTGAAAATTGGTCAGTCTTATTGTTTCCTTGTTTGATTTCTTTTTAAATCTGTTCTCTCACATCCTTCTTTAAATTAGCATTTTTTGTCTTTTCTTTTATCACTGGCTACTAATTACGTTTGCTGCATGTCGCTAGTGCGAAAAGATGCGAGATGGACCACTTGATGCCAGGCCGAATGACTGCATTCGCTGACTGTCTGTGTCCTCTTGGGGCATTCTGCTCTCTCACGACTCTCGGCGTTTCGCCTCCTGTTTGCGTACATTCTATTCATCTAGACTTATTTCTATGTTTTGTTAGATCGCTTGTTGCTCGTATAATTCTGCTAAAACACTGATAATTCTATTATTATTTCTTCAAACATTGTTTTCTTGGAGAATTCTTTTTCTTCTAGGGCAGTAGAAAATTCTACATCCAACGGAATTTATTACAAGCAAGGACTTGCTCAGGGTTGGAAAAAGAGTGTAAAGGATTCGGACGAATCGCCGGTTCGTTTATCGATTTTTTTCAAATTTTCATTTCTTTTTTTTTACTCGCGATGTTTCCATTCCATGATTTTTGCTGTTTTTTCCGTGCTGAAAATTTAAAATGTCTGCTCAATAGTTTAATAATTGATTATTTCCAGGCTGCTGCTTCACCACAGTCGAGTATGTCTTCTCCAGCCCCTGTTCAATCTAAGTCGCCAGTGAAAAGCGACAAGAAATCTCCTTCCTCTCCTCCAAAGGATGATAAAGCACCATTGGCTAATGGTAGTGCTCGATCGTCTTTTACTTCACACAAAGGAAACTCAAATAATGGTCGAGGTTCACAGAAGTCCGAAGTTTGGCAGAGAAACAATCGAGATGGAGAGAAACCAAGATCATTCTATCAGCGTGGAGATAGGTGGCCCGTAAGACCAAATCCTCATGCTCCTCCTAAGCTCACTCCTGCACAGAGAAAAGCCCGCGGCCCTCTTCCAGACTGGGATGATGTCCAGGTGCCCTCTTTTATAAAATGTTAACTTATCATTTTTAGGATGGCGAAGATAACTTCGACTATATGGGCTTAATGGATACTCAATATGCTCAGTTTTATTCCGTTTCTTCAGTCCCATCATTCGACAATGTGGGACCACTTGATCCTCAAATGGCCAATCTCATGATTTCTCAAGCTCAACAGCACATGGCTGGTTTTGCCTACAGGTTCGTAAATCTTATATGTCTATAAACACAACGGCTGTTCAGACCTCCAATGCCAATGATCCACACAGCTTTGCCAATGATGGATAACAGAGGAGATGCCGTAACCTCCCCAACTGTTTCTATCGTCAGCCCTCCAACTCATATTATCAATACAAGCCTAGACAATATTAATACTGCCATTCCTTTTGCTCCTGTCTATCCTACTCCAGCTCCTATTCATGTTCTTAATGACGAAACTTTAAGAGACTGCGTTCGCAAACAAATGTAAGTTTGTCCGCCTTGATCATCTTTACCAATGATGCTATTTCAGAGAATATTACTTCTCTAATGAAAATTTGCAAAAAGACTTTTTCCTAAGAAGGAAAATGAACGCTGATGGTTTCTTGCCTTTGCAGCTTATTGCCTCCTTCCCTAGAGTCAGATCCTTAACTGCCGATATTTCTCTTATTTGTGAAGGGCTTCGGGAGAGTGACACAGTATGGATTAGTAGCCTATAAAAGGTCATTAACATGTATCTTTTAGGTTGAACTTTCCGACGACTTGACGTATGTACGTCCTCGTGTTAATCCTGCTCAATGGCCTTTGCCACCAACTGTCCACTCTGATGTCGCATCAACTAGCAATACTAATACTGTTGAAAACGCCAAGCTTGCTCAAAAATCTGAACCTTCTCGCCTTGAGGTACTTTGGACACCATCAACCCTTAAGCAAATAATGATTATAGAAGCACGAATTAGATACACCGCCACTCACTTCACCAGAAACATCTGGTACAGCTTCTGCTGCTAAAGATACTCCTTCTTCCAACGAAGTAGTGAGTTGATAATTGATCATACGAGTTAACTCATGTTTCTATTAAGAGTTGGGAAGAGGTTAAACCGAAGAAGAAGAGCCGTGGACGAGGTTCAGACAAACACTCTTCCTCTGCTACAAATCAGAAGCAGGAAAAGACTGAACAAGATCTAGGATTTCAATTTGATAATGAATTAGACTCAAGTGCAGGTGGATTCTCGACCCCAAAAAGAGAGAAAGCCAGCAAACCATCCAGATTGACGTAAGCCACTGTTATCAGTTCTCTTTGCACACTCAACCAAATGTTTTAGTGTTGAGGTCTCCGAAGAAATCGACGATGACGTTGTCAATAAGCTCATTATTATGACCCCATTGAAGAGAACTTTCGACCGCACAGGTGATTTCACTACTCGTGCCAGAAATAATGCTGAGTTCAATGAAGAAGTGAGTAGTCAGTAGAAGCGTATGTTCTATGATATGTCCTGTTAAGGTTGAAATTGGTTTACGTCAGTATGAAGAAGAGTTATGGAGTGCTCCTCAGGAGAGAGAAGTACCTGTAAGTTTTACTTTTTCTTCCTAGTGTCTCTGTGTTGTGTAAAGACGTAGAAGTAGACCTTTGTTTTCTTTCATTTTGCATGAGTGTGGGGTGCTTTACAGAATAAAATTTCCACCGTATCAAGAGAAGAGTTCCAACAAATAAAAGGTGCCACTCCCAAGATCGAACAAGGCCCTCCACCTGAAATTCCACCTAGTCAAGTCATGACTCCTCAATCCATATGGTCTGAGAAAACGAAAGAAAGGGCTGCTAATGCAGTGGTATGCCATATGCTTGAATTTTGTTTTTTTTTGTAAATAGAATGAGCTTGTTTGTTTTCTATTAGTTATTGTGCAATTTCTAGCCCAAGAGTCCAATGCAACGAAGAGAGTCTGCTGAACAAAAAGTCTCTCGATTCTATCCAGTCAAGCCAACTGTTCCTATGGGTACATCTCCACGTAAAGCTAAAACTAGGTATGCGAATAGTTAATGAACATTTTATAAAAAAGAGAGTTCCAGACATCGTGAAGAGCCACCTGTCGAGTTACCCGTTGGTTGGGTTTTGGGCAGAGGAGAAGAGGCAGTCTCAGCTGCTCCTATTGGTGTTGCTGCCAGCAGCAGCAATTATCCTGCTTCACATCCTTCAGTATCTTTACTTCAAGAAAATAACTTCACTCAAAATGTGAGTGTAACCAAGGGTGATGTTAGCTTACTTCAATTTTAGGTTTACTCTTCATGGAGATTAGAATGTCTAAAGCAACGAAAAAATTTGGGTTATGAGTGTGCTGAAATGAACACACTATATCGTTTTTGGTCTTTCTTCCTTAGAGATAACTTCAATAGGAAAATGTATGAAGAGTTCCGTCAGCTTGCCCTTGAAGATGCTGATATGAGGTATCCAGTGGATCAGTCCAACATGAACTAACTGTTTGATTTCAGTTTCCGATATGGTGTCGAAGCATTGTTCCGTTTCTATAGTTATGGTTTGGAAGCAAAGTTCAGACCGGAGATTTATAAGAACTTCATGACTGACGTTGTGAATGATGCTAAGAAAGGAGAGCTTTATGGTCTTGAGAAGCTTTTCATGTTCATGAAGAGGTATTGATATGGTCGATAATTCGTTTCTAATCCTCTACTTTCAGATACAAGAACGCTAATCAATTGGTTCTCGTTCCAGAACTTGAAGAAAAACTTAAGAAGTACAAGAGTCCTGATGACTTCTACATTGTGAGTTTGAGTGAGCCATAGCTTAGTTAATCATTCAACTATCTTTAAGACTAATACCGAAACGAAAAAGCGTGCAACCGTTAAAAGTTGAACAGGTATTTAGTAAGTCCGCCCATAAGCGTACCCCTTTCTTTGCTCCTATCCTGGTCATGCTGGTTTTGTTGTTTTGCCTTACCTCGTAGGGCGTTGTTACCCTGCTCTAGAGAATTCGCTCCAATTTCTGTTATGTAGTTTTTATATAGCCTTTATTAAGATTTCGTTAGGCTAACATTCGGTTATTTTCTGTCGAACTGTTGTTTTATTCAGATGTTTAGATAAGTTCCGGTTAGATGCATCACCCTTCAATCATTGTTATTACTTTTTTAGTTCATAGTTAACGGAAAAGAGCTGTCGTGCCCTTTAAATTAGCTTTTCAGGCATTACCGCTTATTAACCGGTAGTTCCCATGATTTCTAACTTGTTGATTACTTTGTTGCTAATGATGATGAGTATGTCTGACGTTCCTATCTCAAGTCGATCTGGGTTATTCCCGTCTTAACTTTTAGCTTAACATTATCCCAGATCGATTCTCCGTTTTGCTCACATAGCAATGTTTCTCCTGGTTTTGTTGTTTCTTTTCAAATGTTTAGTATAGACACATATAGTATACGATTCTTGTTTAATTTTACAGAGTTTCTGCATATGATTTGTTCTTGTTAACCATTCAAATAATACCCTCAAAAAGCCGTATACCCTGAGGCCCAAAAATCCAAAAATATCATTTTATTTTCTTACGTAACTTCCTTGCAAGTTTAAGTGCAAAGTGTGTATTCTTTTTTTGTTCATTTATGGTTACAAGATAAACACATGTCTAAAAAGTCTTATATCAAATGGGAGGAGCCAATGGTCTGCACGCCGCAATGACAATTCTGCGAAATGTGGAGTAACTTGCGGCTGGTCGTCTTATTCATCCTCTTGGCTATAAGTACTTATATTCTTATCAGCCTTTTTCTTATATTTTCGTTTCAGCATATGTATCTGGAGCCAGTGTGCTTTCCACTTCGTATCTTCGTATGACGAGACAGCTTAGTGCAAGAGATTCCGACCTGAAGGCCTACGTGGCTAACGTTCCAGACCGGGCTCACAGCTTGGTAACTCTTCTATTTCTTTTTTGAAAACTAAAATCTTTTTTCTTCAGATGGACCGTCGTCTACATTTCTAATAAGAAACAGTTGAGATGCCAACCTTGTCCGCTCCTCCATACTTCTATTTTATGAAGGCGTGTATTTTTTATCCAGTTTGATATCATGCTCAATGTGTGCTTTTATTTATGAGAAAATAATAAATATTTTAGATGTATATTCTTTTTTGAACTGCTTCGCTACATAGTTCGAGATCATCGACCATTGTCTAAAATGGATAGATCACGTTTAGTTGAAAGATAAGAACGGAAGTACCTGTACGTGATCGAGAACTTGGTGTAAAAAAGCCAGCAATATAGCTATTTGCGGAACATGACGTCGCAGACCATCGGCCAAGTTTTGGGTATCAATCATTACTTGACAGTATTCATGAACTATCTAGAAATTTTGAGTTCATTACTGAAAAACTGAAAGACTTACAATTAATGTATATCTATTCGTACAAACGTATATTGGTAACCCATGGCTTACACGTAGCTTTTAATCATTTTCCATTATTATCTTCTGACAAGAGTAATTGAAGGCAAGATGCTAACTGTTCATAGGTAATCTTCGTCAGTTTACGATCTGAATTTTACTGCTTTTATTAAAGAGGTTCTGCTCCTACCTATCTCGTAATCTGAAACATGGATATCAGAGAGCACAGGCCTAAAATCTGTGAACCCGAGATCTAAATCTATTTCTTCTGGAACTTCTGCAGCTAACTGAATAATAGAACTTGTCAAATCAAGACTTAAAACTAGCCAACTTTACGAAAATGAAACTTTATGAGTTCGGGATTACTGCTTTTCGCGAATACTTTTCTCTTAAACTGTTCAATCAGTCTCCTCTTATGATTAAACGACTGTGCAGATGCTATAATAAACATTCAAACAAATCGAAGAAGTATTACTTACTCGATGAATTAACCATAATGACTTGATGTATCTGGTCTAAAATTCTAAGAACGGGATCAGCCACAGGCTTGAGAGCAGCTGAGCTGGAATGCAACAGTTCTGAGCGTTTACATCTATCCGAAAACCAACCTAACTTTCACACCTTCGGTTTTGTTCCTCAAATCTATTGAGCTAGAAGACCAGGCTCGTTTTGTATTCAAAGATTGAACTTTCTTTAAAAAGAGGATAGCTAGGACGCATAGTAGCTCAAACCTTTTTTTGCAATGCTCTGGAGGTTATGCGCATGCTCTTCCAGTTCTCATTTCTTTGAGGCATATTTTCCGTAGCCACAGTACTTTGTTGAATTTTAGGTAGTGATGAAGACACTGTCATGGCCGAACCTCTCCCAGATTGCCCTGCTGAATGTGACTTCCCATTAGATCCTGAAAGGTTCCCATTTCAAAAACTTATTGAATTCGTTAGTCTCACTGCGAACTGGCTTATCAATTGAAAAAATTGGTGGGAAAACAGCAGATGATAACTTTTCTTTTTCTTGACTGCTCTTCTTTTTCATACTGCTACAACTACCGCTGAGTGTACCAGCATTGAAACTGGAAGAAGACGTCAATGATGACATTTTCCTAAAAATTTAAGTAAGACGAAGAAACATACACCGAAAACCTTAAATTAGGAGTGGCTGACGAAATTTCACGCTCATCCTTCTGATTTTTGTTACCAGCGTTAGATGATGCATGTATCCGGAAAATGTCGTCCAAACAAACTAAGAGCTGAGGTCCGATCTGGCATGAAATTTCGGAAATATCAGGACGACGTTTGGGATTTGTTTCCAAACATTTCGCGATCAGATTGCAAAGATCACTGAAAATAATAACAACTTGTATGCTATTTACAGCCTGTGCATTTCGTTTAGTAACGTTTACTTCTAGACAAAAACGTACTTGGAATATCCTGATAATGGATCATACTTTCCCTCCACTATGTGTGTTGCTAATTGTAGCATATTTTGAGAATAGAACGCTGGCCTCAAATGATATCATTGTAAGTACAATATAACGATGATTCGTACTTCAAAGCTGCCATTTCATACACACAACACCCTAATGACCAAATATCTGCTTTCTCACTATACGGCAGGTTCTGCACAATTTCCGGACTGCAAGACAAGAATTGTTTTTGAAGTACTTCTCAGCTACTAACCAGCTATATACTATTGTTCCAGCAGCTGATTTCAAGTAGTCAGTACCTTTCTTCTTAGCTAACCCAAAATCCGCTAAAGTGAACCCATTATTAGATATATCCCGCCTTGGAAAGATCACTGTTCTACTCACTTATAACAACACGGTCGTTATCGGAAATCATAATATTGGTAGGCTTCAGGTCGCGATGCACAATATGTTTGTCTTTGTGAAGATAACGAAGAGCCAGGACCATCTGAAAAGATAGTCTTTACCCCCAGAATGATAAAAGTGAAGGTAGGGACCTGAATAATTAAATTCCACACACGTTCTTCAGGAAATGTTTCTCTTTTCTCTTTTATTGATGTTATGTGTTCCTTCAGTGAAACACCTTCGATTAGATCCATCACGATATACAAATGATTGTTCTCAACAAAGATTCGTCGATAACGAACTATATTCGGATGACGTAGCTGAAAAGAAGATATGCGAACTTGATTATATTATGACTTTCGCTGCGCAAAAATTAAATTTTTGAAACAGGGACTGAATTCTAATGTAATTATAGCTTTCACAGATGAATTTACCTGCTGCTTGATGATCTTTACTTCGCTTATAATGTCACCATAGCTTTTGTCATTATCATTCTCACTCATTTGCACATTAAATATCTGGAAATCATAGATTAAATCAATATTGACCTGTCAATCTCACCTCTTTGAGCGCGAAATATTGTGGTACAGCTCCTCTGTCCTTTAGCTTCTTCCGTACCGTATAAACACATCCGAAAGCTCCAGATCCAAGTTGTTCCAAAAGTTCAAACTCGCCAACATAGCCAATTGGCTCTCGCCGCTGGTTAGTTGCTTCCCACAACGACGGCAACTCGGAATTCGATATGGAGTTCTGAAGATAACAAAGTACTTTTCGAGTTCTTCCGAGTCTTACCAGATAATCGTTGTAGCTTATAACTAAGTTTTGATAGACGGATATGTCCTGTACGTAGTGACCAATATCGACGAATTTCTCGAAAAGACTAGAAGTGAAAATCTTCTTGAAATATGTTCTATTTCTTTCCAAAGAATAAATGAGCCTGAGAACCCGGAAGATTGATCCCTGAGAATGGAATGGAATAAATTCAAACAAGCTATCTTTACCTGTAGAGCCAAAGTAGAAGGATTATCAGATAGCTTGGAGAATAGCTTGGGAAGAAGGAGTAAACGCCCTAGCAGATATATCCCATTATTCTGTACTATTAGCTGTTGATTTGCATCTTCTTGACATAATTGAGCCAGCAAAGCACAAACACCTGAATAGTAAAGTTATGAGTTGTCGAACTGGAACTATGATTCAACAATAGGCAACTTTTGGCCGACAATGAATTATTCAAGGCTAATATTTTCATTACCAACAGCAACGAAAAACATCTTTTAGATGAATGAACGGAGCATACCTATGAGCATAGCAAGCCAGTCATTCTGTCCTCTTGGCGGAGGAGTTATATCTGCTAGCTGGGCCAACACTAAGCTGATTCCACCGATTTGGGCAATCTAAAGGGATTTCTTGTTAGGTCATTCCGTTTAAAGAACTTGAGCTCTTCTCGCTTTATTCTTTTTCTAAAACAGCACCTCAAAGCTAGTTTCTCCATTTGTTGCCAATTGTGCTAAGCACCATGCAACATGCCATTGCAGTCGTGAATTTTTAATCGATAGAAGCCTGAAAAAGTTGAGATTGAATTTTATATCAAGTATAATGGAAATCAAATCAAACATTACCCTACTAGAAGAGGTACTCCGTCATATATAACAATCTGCTGAACTGCTTGCTCCATACAACATAGAATTCTCAAGAGACTGACGCATAATCTGAATTGGAGATGTATGATCACTGATTACTTTCATCACAGAACAGACTGACTTTTGAGTCAGTAAATCTCCTTCAGGAATCAATTGAATACAAGTATCTATCACAGTAGATGCACACAGTTCATAACGGCAATCTTCCGACCAGTCCGATAATCGTCCAAGTATCTGAACAAGCCCCCAATAATTATAAGTTGCAAAAGTCAAAGACTATGGTACATCTAAAGACCCTTGTATCACAGCCATATCCGATGAACAATTCAAAAAACGAAGTATAGCCTTATGAAGACCAGCCGCAACAAATTTGGTGGCATGGTCCAGACCAACTATTAGTTTTTGAGTTACGTCTGTAAACAATCAATCAATAACTTAATCTAATGTTTTTAAGTGTTGAAGTAAACGTGGCAGACGTTTCAAGCGGTGACGTAACGTCAGTATGCTAATTATTTTTGAATGCAATGTTTACGTCAGCGGTTGTTCCAATCACTGTTTTCCCACTAACTTAAAACGATTTTCAAAATTACAGAACCATCCAGCTGATTTGCGAAATGTGATACAATGAAACTGCAGAACTTAAATTGAAATCAGTTTCTTGTGTGAGTGAACATTCTTTTCAAACCTGCACGTATGTCGAATGAGATCCTGCCGCATGAAATATATCGACACAACACTTTTCACGAAAAAGGAAGCGAGAGAACTTTAATATTTCAGAGACCCACGGATATGAAGGCTTGGAAGCAATGAATGACATGAAAACAATTTGATACAACAATTTTCTTTTGCATAGTTACAATGAGCAGACGCGATTAACTATCAAGCCATTAGCCAACTTGATGGCGAGGCCCCTGTCAGTTAACTCCTGGAGGGTAGTATCTGTGACGGAATCCCTGAGTAAAGATCCTATTTGTATCATATCGTAATTCGAACTTACAGAAAGACATGCAGAGCATGAATTTCTTTTTGTATATTGGTAGGTTGGCTTTCAATTGCCAAAGTGAAAGATCGAAGTAGGTACGAGACATTAGACATCCACTTTGATCTATTTCATGAAATGAGACATATAAGGAGAGATGACATGTTTTATTTCTCTGAATTCTAGAGAGAAGAAAAGAGAAAGAACGAACAAGCATGATGATAAATCATATATCGAAACTCTGAGTCAAACAAGAAGCAAATTTCTATGCTGTATTACGAAGGATTGTTCTAAAAAATACCTGTACACTACGTGAATGGCATAAGATTTAAAATCTGATAGAGAAGTTAGGAAAGAATATCAATAGCGTAACCGTGGATTACCGATATATAACACATAATTGAATGCCTCAACAGCGAGAGAGTTCAAGAGAGAGGCCGTTACTAGGCAACCAACTAAACGTAGAAAAAAAAATTAACAGCACTCGGGCTTGCTCGAGAAACCATAGAAGAAAACATTGCGAACATTAAAGGGTGGAATAATGGATAAAAAATCACGAACCACTATTAAGCTATAGTAAAGACTTGGATTGAAACATTCTAGGCAACTTCAGGAAAACTTAGAGGAGGGAGAGGTTTTTTCTGGCGCAATTGCATATATTTCATCAAACGTTTATGAGACACGCGTCCGCTCTCGTTAACAATTTGCTCTAAGCGAATGCTAGGCGATAGAACATTCTATAAACATTATCCATTTATCATGCAAAGTGTGGGAGCACGAACCTCTCTTATTGGAGTAGGCATCGGCCTTATTGGCCTCAACTCATAATTGAAACTCTGAAAAGCATTCAAGTATTTGGGTTGGGTGAAAGAAACTAACGTTCACTCTTTCTTCCGCTTCAACAGATGAAGTTTCATCACTGGATAGAATCTGCAACACTGACATGAGTCACACCTGCCTTCTGAATCCCTACCTCGACGTTATTATTCCGGAAGTCTTCATTTGAAACGGGAATTACTTCTACATTATTCATATTCTCATTTTGCTCATCTGATGTCTCATATGATGTATTCTTAACAAGAGTCATTAGGAAAGTAGGAAGAAGAAGCAGTTACTGGAGAAAGTTCCATCGGGTGTTCATCTTCGCTTTCCTCGATGTGCTCAACTGCCGTAAGATATCCATCTTCTACTTCATGAGTCTGAATCAGAGTTGATTATGAAAGCAAACGAGGTAGTACCACTTCAGGCGAAACAAATTCTACTGGCTTTATCCCATGATCGGCAAGACAAGGATCTGTGCAGACTACCTCTAAATCGGGCTTTGATGAGAAATCAGAATTGTCAATCCAGTTGGTTATTTTATCTGGAATATCAGCTAGTGACTGCAGTATAGAAGGAATCACTAACAAGAAACAGTATCTTCCAAATCTCGCTGTCTCTTAAGAGAGTTACAGCCCAAACAGTTCCCCATCGTTTTCTAGATCATCTTAAGCAACAACAATAAAATCAATAAGTCACAGAGAAACGGAAAGATAGAGGATCGTCAATGAACGTAGTATAGTAAGTGATTAACAGGTGTGAGAAATTGAATTTAACAGTGTTTACATGAATATGGTACATTTATATAGTTCTCCCCTCAGGAAGTACACGCGACATTTGCGTCTTCATTACGCAAATGCTTTAATGAAAATAATTAAAACATCGATACTGAGAACATAGCTCTGAGAAATTATCTCCTCCTGTGTAAATAGGGGGAAGCTCGGAACATTCCATATCGAAATACTGATACGTACTGTTCTCAAATGTTTTTACGTGTGTATATATGGATTTACTTCGTCATATTTCCCCGGTCTACGCAATTTCACATTCAGCTTCGGCTCAGCTAACGATTTTATTTTCGATGAAGCAGCTCTTCGATACCTTTGCTAAAATGAAAGTGTGAATGGTGAACAAAAAACAAAATATCTTACAGAATCCGCAGGGAACATAGGTGTTGCCAGAGGAGCAACATGTGAAGATAGACTTCGACTCTGAAAACGAAATCAATTACAACACATGAACTATTACGATTGATTACCTCGGGGCTTGCCATAGGATGCCCTACAGGATTTTTAGAACGGAAGCTTCTCCGTTTACGACAGGAAACGTAAAGAAAACTTCTTTCCTCTAATTCTGAAGCAAAACAGATGTGAGTGATGCACGATGTTTTGAGCAACCTTTAGTAATTTCTTCTACTTTCGGAGTAACTTCTAGATCAATATTTTCATTCATACTCCAACTGTTCGCTTCCTTAGGCTTACAGGGAGTCACTAACCCGTTATTAAGATGCGAAAGCTCTTCTTTGACTAAAAAACAAAAAATTTGAGTGCTTGAACATGCTTCCAACTTGGATCTAAAGCAGGTGGTTTTACTGGTTTCCTCGATACTTCCACCTGAATGACAATGTTTAAGAAAATGGAGAAGGAAAACAACGATCGTACTTGTTTTTTCGCGTCGCCTGTCGTCTTCTCGCTATTCAATTTATTTTCCAAAGACAAAACTCTTTCTCTCAGATTCATAATTTCATTTGCCATTCGACTATTTTCTTTGCGTGCTTCACCCAATTCCATCTAACAATTTCGAGAAAATAAAGTATTATATGATATGGGAGAACAGCAATAGAACCTTCAACTTCATATTTTGTTTCACCAATGACTTATTAGCATCCTTCACACGAAATTCACAATTTCCTATAACATGAGAGAGAGTATGCTGAAAGTGTCTGAGTAACCTATCTACCTTTGTCTTGTAGAACTGTTTCGGATGTGTACATGTCATTTTTACCAAAAATAAGTTTCAAATCATCAAAATTCAAGCTTTTAGCCATACTTATAACATTAATATATCTGAAAAAGAGACTGTGTATAGAGAAGATGTCTATGTGACTCTACTGAAGCGAGCATCGACAAGATAGTGTGAGCGAAGCAAAACGAATCTTTTTCAACGAATTATAGTCGATTTATGAGAAAAAAGTTTTCTCATATGCTTCTCTGAAAGCCTTTTTAAGCTTGCCATATGACGCTACTATGCTAATTACTCAAGAAATTTGAATTGGCGGTTCTTGCCACGACTAACATGCCACGCCCAGAAATCTGTGTACCAATTGCCTTTAATAACTAGATGCTCCGCCCCCTCGAAGTTACTCATTCATCAAGGCTTTACATAGTTTTGAAATAGGCTTTTACAATGCTCTTCCTTCGTTCGTCATATAGTTACAGTTTAATTATACATTTAAATTTATTTTTTCAAGCTAGAAATGCCTCCACCACCTCCCCCCCCTCCTCCACCGCCACCGTTGTTAGCTTCTTCTAATGCAGGGGATAGTAAGCCTATGTCTAAAGATTTGCTTAGTGATATTGCGGTAAGTTCCTTCTTGATGTGGCAATATATCTCCTCTGGCTTCAGAAAGGAGCTCGGCTCAAAAAGGTACAAACGAATGACAGATCCAGTCCCTTAATAGACGCATCAAAAAAAAGCTCGGGCGCGATCAACTCTGCTCCAGGTTTGTAAAAGCTTCTATGGTTGTTTGAATTCGGTTCTCTTTCAGGACCCTCTGGTGGTTCTTCGAGACCTGCAATGAGTACTCCTTCTATGGGAGGTTTATTTGCTAATGGAGTTCCTTCTAAACCTAGTGATAATAAAAGAGCTGCCAAAATGGCTTGCGCGCCATCAGCACCTGTCTCAGCTCCAGTCCCCCCTCCACCCCCTCCTGCTACTTCCCAATATCAAGCACAGGCTGCTCCTCCACCTCCACCTCCTCCTCCCGCTCCTGCTCCTGCAGTTAATCAATCTGCTCAAATAACACATGCTCCTCCCGTTCCATCAGGTACCATCAAGCTTGTAACCTCGTTCATTCCTGATTTCAGCAAAGAAACCTACGTTCGGTGGTGGCGCGAATGTTAACAATGTGGCTCCACCAGTAGTAACTTCAGCAGTTTCAGATTCTAGAAAGAAATTTGAGGTAATAGACCATGTACTCGATATTTATCATATTCATTCATAGGAGACTGGAACTCCTCTTAGAAATCCAGGAAGGCCGACTGCTGCTCCACCAACGAGGCCTCATGCCCCACCACCACCACCACCAGCGGTATTATAAAGTTTTAGTTTGAGTTTAATTGGAATTTCATTTCAGGCGGTTCGCCAAGATTATTCTACACAAATAAATCGAATAGATAAGTATGTCTTATGCTCTTGTTCTTATTTTTGAATAATCGTATAGGGGTCCAAAAATTTCTGGCGAACCGGCGCCTGCACCTCCACCAAGAGGAACTTCACGAGCAATAGCTCCTGCTATACCCGCCTTCCCATCCGCGAATTCAAGTTCTATAAATACAATCCCACAACAGTCATATAATAATGAATATAAAGATCCTTTAGATAGGTTAGTATCTTACTTCATCCGTTTCTGTCAATCAATGCTTTCAGATTTAAATTTTTACCAATTTCTAAGTTGCCAGCCCCGCCGCAAAGAAGTAGAGCTTTTTAAGAAAAATATATTCAAACGTACATAGACGTGGAAACATCTTCTAAATTGACAGGACATGGTCATGTTGTGCATTTTCTCTAGTCAAAACAACAGAATGTTCTTTGTCAACAACCTTTTTAACGTTCGAGAAATCTCTGTGTCAAACTTTCACTTACATTCATATATTTGCTCATTAATTTCGTTTTTTCATGCTTCATAAACATTTTTGCTTTACATGTTCTTGTAACTCCCCGAAGTTATACCCTTTTCATATTTCTGTTCCCTTTCCCTTTCCCTGTTTTCAATGTTCTTCCTCAGATGTCCTCACCTGCAGGCACTGCTATAGATTTGAATAAGCGCTTGGAGGAGATAGCTACAGCTGAAAGTCTTATAGGGGACATCTTGAAGCATGGGCAGTCTTGCATTACAGAACTGTCGAAGGACAAACAGATTAGTAAGGTATTTCTTTCCACACTCTTACATCTACCGCCTGCACTCTTGTAGAGTAAAATGGAGGAATCGTCACAACATTTTAAATCTGCTTTAACATCTCTAAACCAGATTCTGTCGTCGCAGATGGTCTATTTACAGAACGTCTGTGTGGGGTCTTCTCATCAAGGTTTTTTTCATTTTAGATTAATATTTAATTGTTCTGTTGTGTCTTTCAGGTTCTACATTCGCTTCTCAACAGAATATAGCACTCGCCGAATCCGGGGAGTTTCAATTACACACAGAATTAACACGACTATCAGAAAAACATTTCCCTCCTCCCCTAGCTACTCCGAAAGAAGAGGTTGAATCTGAGCCAGACCTTTTACATTCTATGAATGACGTTAATATGGAATAATTATTTTTGTATTTATAAATCTGATCTCACTGTCAACTCTCTTCGTACTGCGTTCGATCGCCTCAACTACCTCTACTAGAGTTGTTTTGTTTTCGTTACTGTTCTATCCGTAATTGCAGCGATGGATGGTTCAAACACACCTTCCACTTCTACACAGGACATATTCAAAACAGATTATGGTTATCATTCTGAACGTCATCAATACAATCCTCATGTTCCTTTGAAACCCTTCATGGCAATGAGGCAATCAGAAATGCTGAGCAGCAACAGTCAACATCACACGGGGGATGATGTATGTTTTTAAAATTTCCTAAGTTTTTCGATTTTATGTTGTTCTGCGAAGATAGATTTTGAAAAGGAAATTTTTTTCAATGACATTTCTCGTGTAGAATTGCACGAGCAATGATCACGCGGGGGGGGGGGGGAGGTAGTGTATGTTCTTGAGGACAACATTCATTTTTCAGGATTGCCTAGATCAATATTCGAATAATGAACTAACTGCTAGATATATAGCGAAAGTTGCCAATACGTTCGGCCGACCAACATCTAGGACATCGGTATGTTCTCGGGTTCTAATCTAACTGTTCATAATTGCTTACAGTATGCAAATCAGAAAGGAGGCAATTTATCTACACATGGAGCAATATATGAACGATTGAGACGAATTGAAGTGAATTGTGATTTGGGAGAAATGGTTTGTGGTGTGGATATGTGTGGTCGAGTGTTCGAAAGTATACCAGTGAGTTTGTTATATGATGTACAAACAGGAACTGTTTTGTTTTTATGTGCTGGCTTATCATTTGTCTTATGCTCACCAGGATTTGTCTGTGAAGAGCAATGGCTTATCAACCTGTTTAGTTTGCGGATTACAATTACGTTCAGCCAAGGTTTTCCTGGAAGTTTCTGTGAAAAACATACTTTGAGTTTAGGGTCGTAATGCTCATCTAATGAGTAAACATAGGAATCTAGCTGCTGAACATAACTCTCAATGTTTGGAGCAACGGGATACGATAATCTCACCTTTGGCACCTGCTGCTCAAAGATTACATTTGTTGGGAAGTCGCATAGAAGTATCAGAAGATGGATTCCTTTCCTATTCAGACGAAGATGTGTTATCATCTGGACCAGTAATGAGAACATCAGATCACCACATGTCTCTTCACTCTTGAATAAAAATCCCTCATGATCGTTGTTTTTTCTTTCCCAAAATGTTTTTATCTTTAAATATCTTCACGTCTTCAATTTACTTTAATGAAGATCCGAAGGGCTCCCATTTTGTGCAGACCCTTTATGAAGAAATAAAATGGCTCTTCCTAGTGTTAAGCGCGCTCATCCAGTGTTATCATCTATTTATAATAATGTGAGATTCTTCAACAGCAAGGAGATGGCCTATTCTGAAAAACGATTAATTGGGTATAATCACCTTGTTAGCGTCTTTACGTTTTGTACAGGTTCAGCCGCGAGCAGATGTATGATGTTGTCTCGAATGTCTCTGAGTACAACCAATTTGTTCCATGGTGTCGTAAGTCAATCGTTCACCACGAGCACTCTAATTCACAACTAGCTGAGTTGGAAATAGGTACAGTTCTTACTTCATGTTAGTTCGGACAATTTTCTAGGGTTTCCTCCCCTCGTTGAGAGTTATACTAGTCGAGTTATCCATGTGAGACCAGCGGTTGTACATGTGAGCCTACCTTCGAATAGCAATTCTAATTTTGTTTCAGTCGGTTTGCGTTGATCACAAATTGTTCAAAACGTTAGACACCACTTTCCGATTTGGGTCTGGTAAAAGTGATAATCCGAACACCTGTACACTACATTACGATCTGACGTTCGAGTTTCAGTCCTCTCTTCATTCAAGGATAGCTCACCTTTTTTTCGATCAAGGTTGCAACCTTTATTCACATTACCTCAGTTTGTTATTACAGTAGTTAAAACGATGGTGACTGCTTTCTTGTCCAGAGCTGAGACCAAGTACGGAGAACCTTCAATTAATCATTCTGCTCCCAAAGTCCTTCAGTACAAGTCGTAAGAGATGGATTTTATTAAAACTAGGTTTAGTTCTATTCATCAAATCAACCAAGTTATCATACATATAAAAATTTCGTGTAATATGTTCAATTTCTTATTGAGCTAAATCGCTCTCATTCAATGTCCATGATTGTTGTTGTATGTGTTGTTGGAGACAGTTATTTTATATTTCGATTGTAAGCTTCCGTATAGTTCCATCAGAATGCAGCCGTTCTGAACAGGCTGGGTGGAATGCAATTGTTCTGAACGGTTTGCGTGGAATGCAACCGTTCTGGACTGTCTCGGATGGAATACAACCGTTCTGGACGGTTTGGATTGGAATACAATCTTTCGGTGCGCTTCAGGTGAGAGCCGGATTTCTCCAGCTCTGAACCACGCATGTGGGCTGATGAGCTTTTCCTCCCTCTCTGGAGGACCTCCAGAGAGGGAGGAGCGAGCTCACCACGCAGCTCACAACGCCGACTGACGTTACTCGGACTTGCGACGGCTTATATACCCTGTGAATGCACGCCACGTGAAAAAAAGTTTACGTGAAAAAAAAATTACCCGGCTGTTCCCTTTCTGGTGAAAGCAGTATCTTGGCTCAAACTTGATAGAAATTGTTTTTTTTTTCAATGTTCAAAGCAAAATTTTGTTCTACGCTCAAATATTAAGTTTGTCTCCTGTTTTGACTAAACTCTCTCGATGAGTTCTTCTTGATAGCTCAATTTGTGTTAATTATAAATGGACTTCTGACTACTCGCGAAGTTATTTTTTTGGCATCAGAATCTCAAAATTTGGGAAAAAATCAAAAAAGTGAGCGATTCTGAAGAGTTATTCAGATGGAGAAGATTATGCTGATTCTGAATCTGTGCTCAGAATTACGAAAAAAATATTTTGAATGGAGATAAAACGTTTTGAAAATTTCGTGCAACTTTACGTCAAAAACGTGGACGTGTATATAGGAGCACGAAACGCGTGCATCGTATTCAAACCTAAATTTTTATATTCAGAAGCTTATAACTTTTTGAAAAGTTGATAATATCTAAAAAAAATTTTTGTCTCAAATTCAGAATAGATGCCTCCGCCTAACGACACTAAAATCTCAAAAACTTCAAAAAAATAAAAAAAGTAACGCCCGAGCGATTCTGATGAGTTATTCAGATGCAGAAAATTCTGCTGATTCTGAATCTGTAATCAGAATCGAAATAAAAGTTTCAGAAGGTGGAGAAAAAACGGTTTGAAAATTTCGTGCAATTTTACGTAAAAAACGTGGACGTCTATATAGAAGCATGAAACCCGTGCATCGTATTCAAACCTAAATTTTTATATTCAAATGCTCATAACTTTACAAAAAATTAATTATATTAAAAAAAAACTTTTGTTTCAGGTTCAGAATAGATGCCTCCGCCTAATGACACCAAAATCTCGGAATTTTCAAAAAATGAGAAAAGTGACGTCAGAGTGATTCTGATGGATTATTCAGATGCAGAAAATTTTGCTGATTCTGAATCTATATTCGGAATCAAAATAAGAGTTTTAGAAAGTGGAGAAAAAACGGTTTGAAAATTTCGTGCAAACTTACGTCAAAAACGTGGACGTCTATATAGGAGCACGAAACCCGTGCATCGTATGCAAACCCAAATTTTCATATTCGAATGCTCATAACTTTACAGAAAACTAATTATATTCAAAAAAAATTTCTGTTTCAGATTGAGCATAGATGCCTCCGCCTAATGACACCAAAATCTCGGAATTTTCAAAAAATGAAAAAAGTGATGTCAGATTGATTCTCATAAATTATTCAGATGCAGAAAATTCTGCTGATTCTGAATCTGTATTTAGAATTGAAAGAAAATGTGTTTGAAGAAGAGAAAAAACAGTTTTAATTTTTTTCAGTTGTCGTTTGACTGAGTGTGTTGTACGTGATTGAAAAGCGTTGGAAATGAACTGTTCATTTGAACATTTGGTTNCAGGTTAGATCTTCATTGCGTTTTTTTCAGTTGATGAGTTAGGTAAAGTTTATAGATCAAGTGAGAGTAACCAGAACAACTGATAAGCCAAATGCAGTGGGAGCAATCGCTGGTTCTGAAGGAGCATAGGCATATGAAAGCTCAAAACGAACAGAAAATATTCAGATGAATTCGTTAGTTATTGAGGGAATCAACGAGAGCAGTTGCAGCTGTCTGCTGTTGATTTATAAATAGGTTCCAGGCCATCAAAATAATCAGGCTGCAGGGAACTGGGCTAATTCAAAAACGAATTGAACTTCATCGTTGTCATGTCCAGTTATGACTCCTATCTATCCAATCATCAGTTGCCCGATAATGAAACATATAAAACAATTCACAATATTCTCGCCATATGTACATGTGTTACTTACGGTCTCTGTTATTTGATTATCTACTTGTCACCTCCAAGTAAGGAGTCTCACTACTACAAGGTGATCGTGCACTCCCAAGGAGTAAGTTGCTCTCTCTAGTCTCCTCTTTCAGTCCTATATTGCAGGCTACGATATTCCTATTCTGTATCCAGTATTCTCTAGTTATAAAGTTTGTAATCCATCTCAATTATAGTTTTTTCTATTGTGAAGGATACTGTTACCTGATTGGTCTAACATGTGGAAACAGCTACACAATCCTTTGCTTCATCTTCGGAACTTTTGGTTTCATTCTTATTTGTAATGTATTGTTCCGGTTGTACCTGATAGTGGATCATACTCACTTCCTTAGGGTAAGTGTGTGTCAGTCTCTCAACTTCATCTCCCTTCTTCTTCTTCCAGAAACCTAATATGTTCCCTATTATCTGTGTTGTTATGGTATTCTTTTTTTCTTTCTTATCAACAATAACATTCCATATTGGATATAGTGAGTTTGACCCGAGTAGCCTTCCGTTCAATGTGAGTTCATCAGGGGATAGGTTATCCTCTCATATGAAGTGATTTCAGCTTTCACAGAGGCAATTAGATTACTTGTCAACGAGGACAGCTCTATCTTACCATCTGAATACTTTCAAAGAAATATTCTATCCCGTGTACTTCGTTTTTTTGGTTCTCATGTGCTTTGTAGTAAGCTCATCTCAGTCTTGTGCTGGGTCATAGCCACTGAATCTTATCCTTGACCTTCAGACGGGTTCATCAATTGCATTTGAGATCGTTCGCACTATCCATAAGAAACAAAGCGTTATGTCTACCGGAGCATCCATTCATCATCTGAGAGTGCTGAAGGTTCTAACGATCCAGGTAATAACAGTTTTGCCTCTGTTTTGACATCAGTGGTCTTGAAGATAGTTTGTACCGCATCAGTATCTTGCTGTACTCCTCTCGCATTAGCTCTCTCTTTTTTTATCCCTGTAAACTCAAGTACAGTTTGAATTGACAAAGTTATTCTGAATCTTCGATTGTTCAGCCGTAATTTATAGTTCCTCGTTAGTTTTGGGTACTAGCTCTCTGGTCCAGTCTGTTCTCACCATCTGTTTGAACCCAGTTACCCGGAAAACTGTTTTGACTCTCATCGGCTTTCACAAACCTGAAGCACGAAAGGCTGTAAGTTGCAGTGATTCATATCTTCTATACTCATGAACGGCGTTGCAGACTGTCCGAGTAGATGCAAAGTAGTGCTCACTTGTAAAGTAGTTTGACTTTCAACTCGTCTGTAGTTTCTACACACACTTTGTCTTAACGCTACCCAATAGTAATTTAACAGGCAGCTGAAAATTCGAATTTGTTAGAATAATTCTTCCTGCTCGACTCTTTGACGCCATTCTTAACCGTTGTACTCACCTTTTAACCATTCGTTCACTTGTCTCAAGTATGTCATATTCGATAGGTACCCATGCAAATTGTGACTGAGTCTGCCTATTCGTAGCGGAGTGTTAACCGCCTGTGGGATGGTCTACTCGAGTAATACGTATCGTTAATTTTCAAATTTTTCTTTTTTTTCCGCCTTTGTTCTTCTCAATCGATTGTTATAGTAATCACATGGAAGATCAGTCTCAGACCTCATCAATCCTTCATTTTGTCTTTGAAAGGTTAAAAAAAATATTTTTTGTTTGTTGTTTGTTGTTTGTTTATCATGTTGACATCATTGGATTATCATATATCTTCATAAGAGTAATTTCCCCAACAAATTTCGTCAATTTTGGTCGATTTTTCGTTGAGTTAGGACCTTTTCTGTTCCGAGCCATGTCCGTGCACGACCGCTCCACCCGTAAACCGCGTGTTGAGGAATTATAATCACGTGAAAAAGCGCATGACCGTTCAACTCCTTAGCGTAGTCAGAAATGAAACTTGTGCGTTTTCATTTACATCGTGCAAATAAAAAATGCGCGGTGTCGTCCTGCAAACTTCAGAATCTCTCTTCTCTCTTAATTCTCAACCAATTTTCTTTTTTTTTCTTCTTGAAACACTGTGAGCCTCTCGCATCTGAAAAGCATTTCAATACAGATCTTCCTTTTAATTTCGAAGGTCGATTTTTGAAGGCGTAGTTTGATTGTCGAGATTGCCCTTGTGGGCTCGACTTACTCAGTTGATCTCTGATTGAGTTCTGTTCCTCCATTCAACTTACAGAACTATTGATTAGGAACCTTTAAAACATTCTCTTCCTTTTTTTAAATTGCTTTAAGATAACATCAAGGGTGTTCCTTGACACTTTTTCTGACTTTTACGCGCTGCTCTGATCTGCTTTTGTTGATAAATCAGGTTAAGAATTGACCATTCAAACTCTCGTTGATCATTCTTCGAAGTTGTAGTCCGGTGTCCAACTCTGATCATTCGTAGTAGCCACGCCCATCTCGAAAATTCCTCCTACTGCTCATTTNTCATTTCCTGATTGAAAATTGTTATTGTTAAGCCATATGATGAGAAATAATCGCGGTTACAAGTAATGCTGAACCAAGGCTTCTCCTCCATCTAACCATCCTATGAATTGAAACTTCCATGAGCCTGAAGTTACTCTTTCCTTGTCTTGTTCTTGTCAGTCGATTGTTATAGAATTCACATGAACTATCAGCCTCAGATATTTCATTTTCTGGTTGTTGTTNGTGTGTTGTACGTGATTGAAAAGCGTTGGAAATGAACTGTTCATTTGAACATTTGGTTTTACATTTAATTCTTTTATTTTTTCTGTTTATTTAGTTAAAACGAAATGTCATATTCTTTATTAATGAGTTGAGGACGATGTCCTTCTCAACCGTCTTATGCTCAGGGCAAGAGAGGAAGGTTGAACGACCTCGTGCCTTCCAATGAGTGAAGGTTTCATTTCCTGATTTAAAATTGTTATTGATGAGCCATATGATGNAACTCTGATCATTCGTAGTAGCCACGCCCATCTCGAAAATTCCTCCTACTGCTCATTTAATCAACCAACAAGGCTATTGATTGTATTCTCATTAACCTTCTCTTATTAACAATATATTTGTCGGTCTTTCTTTTTTTTCTGTGATTTCCATAGTTGTCACCCGAGGGCTTTTCCCTTTGCGTTTCTCCTCATGTAAGCGCTGTTACAGACGGTTCTGTTCATTTCGAGTTAATCTGTTAATGTGGCATGATTTAATAATTAATACTTGATGATTCCGGTTTTCTAGTGTTTCTGTATCGGTGCTCCTTTCTTCTTCCACCCGACGACTGTTCAACTCGCTGGGATAAGGTTGACCATAGCTTTATTTCTCCTTCTTCCTCAATCTCACATTGCAACAAAATATATTTTTGTCTGTTTTTGTGTATCGGAGGATTTCTCACAGTTTCTGTTTATCATTCTCTTGTATTACTTTTGAACTGATATCTCAAAATGCAGATTCTCACTCATGTCCTGGATTTTGAAATTATTGAGAACCGATAGCTGCACGCGTCAATTGTCATTTGTCCAAGAAATAAGGAGAGTAAGAATAATACTCCAGCCTTCGAAATTTGTGTCATAGTTCTTTTCATCTTGACATGTTACTCTTCATCCTTACTGTATCTCGATTACTCAAGGAATGGAATGCGTGTTCTTGCTGTTAGTTCTCATTACTTGTTCTTTTTGGTTTGAAAATATGAAAGAGTGAACGCTACTGGAAAGTGGAAGTGGGTTCTTAGCATGCCATGTTTGACATTGATCATTCGCTTCCTCATCATCACTTGCCCGCTTTTAGTTATATTGATAACTATGGAAATCACCCTGGTGGTCATGTTTCTTGAAGTAATAGATATTATTCGTCTCGTTTGTTTTCTTACTTGTTCACCACCCTTGTTTCTAAACTGCGAATGACTTGTTTATGTACTTCTCTTAAGGTCGGCTATGTTCCATTCCAAGCTGTTCCTATCCGCTCGACAATTCACAGTTTTCAAAGGTTGTTCGATCAGTTCACACTTGGGAATAAAAAAAGTTTATTTAAGATAGTGAGACATGATGGCAACAACAGGATGAGGAAGATGGAGGATTCTGGCCCCCTTGATGAACTCGGAGGCCACAGAGGGCCAAGTTTGTCGGGGGAAGGGGAGGGGAAGGTGTATAACCTTCTTCTCCCACATCAGGGGGGGATTCGCTGATCCTCCCAGGAGAGGAGGGAGAACTCTCGATCTCTCTCTTAAAGAGGGTGAGAGTTGTTCTCCATTCTCAGAGGAGGGAAGGGAAACAGTTGATCTGGACAGGCGGGCATCGCCATTTTTTTCAGAATCTGAAACAGATTAACACCCTTTNGCACGACCGTTCAATTCCTCAGAAATGAAACTCGTGCATTTTCATTTCCATCGCTTGAAAAAGAAATGCGCGGTGTCGTCCTGCGAACTTCAGAATTTTAGAACTTTCTTGATACTCCACCAATTTTCATAATTTTTTCTGCCGGATCTGAGAAGGATCTCAATACCCTTTTGACT